AATCATGGTGTATTGATAGGTTTTCGTTCAGTTGAACTGGTCGCTCACACTTTATAAACCACAATGTGGTTTACTTGAGAGATTGACATTGTGACTTGTGGTGATGGAATATAATATATTTAAAATGCTTGGGGCGTCCGATTTCTTTGGCTGAGTCCATTCAGATTTGTTGATACCAATTATGTTGCAATGAAGTGGTTGTGGCATTGTGATTGACCAGTGGTTTGGATTCTATTGTCCAGTTTAAAGTCGAGGTAATAATGGACAGGAAACCCCATGTTGTGGCTGAATGCTGTGATGATGACCTTGGTGTAGCCCCTAAGTACAATCTTGAAGAGATCTGCCACAGCTTGGTATTCTTGTTATATTGTCTAATAGTTAGCTCCCTCTCTAAATCTGATAGTGATTCTATGTGAAAGTTCAATGTTTTGCTACCTAGTTTGAATCAAAGAAGCTTAAAAGTTCAGGGGTTAGAGGTCATGTGCATTGATGAAAAAAAATGATGGAAATTCAATTCAGATGGGTTTAATGTCAGAACATAATGTTGAGTAGTTAGTTTGTGGTGTTAAATGTAGGCTATTGAGGAAATTAGTGTCAATGATTCTCAAAATTATGGCTTTAAATAAACAGAGCCAAATTTCTGTCATTATATTTGTTAAGCAGGAACTAGGACAAATTCACATTCTTTGTGTTCCAGTTGATAGAATTTAAATTTAATTTGTGTGTAACAATGAATGCATGTACAAAAAAGGCTGAAATTCCATCACAGAGTAAATATCACAAGCATGGCTGGTTTGTAAAAAACTAGAGATAAAAACATGCCATCCCTATCTGTATGCAGAGCCTTACCATGAAAGCCTGGTCAGTTTGTGATAACAGAAGAGCCTCTATGCTGGGTACAATATGCTATCATTTCCTTGGCATTTCAGTGCTACTGTAGGGTTCTTGGGATCATCTTCTATAGAAGTTCCAACATTCCTGATACTGGGTATTCAGTGGTAATCTTAACTCCTAAAACAATATCAGATAATGTCATGGAGGATGGCCTTTGTGAAATGATTGACTTCAGTAAAAAAATGTTGGAATGTTTTCATTATTTCAGTCATTATAAGGTAGATATTGTTCCCAGTATAACTAGCCATTTGTTTGTGAATTATGTACCACAAGAATGGAATTTTCAGTTGTTTGTAATTTACGAACACCTACAATAGAAGCACATTAGGGCATATGTATGGTATTGATTTGACCAATTACAATACTATGTCAATAGATCTATTATGAAATAATACTCCTAATATTAGTGTAGTGAGTCATCCAAAATTTTGTCTGCTATATGTATTCCTATCTGTGGTCTCAAGGTGCAAACTATGCACATTTAAAGTCTCTTTGAAGGTTGTTTGTCGAAAAATTTTCAGTCTGAGTAGCATAATGTATGTAAAAATGACTCAAAATAATATTTCATAAAAGTTGACTTTGATTAAAATTTCTGGAGATAGAAATAAATCTTCTCATTGTAAATATCTTATTGTATATCGTGGGAAATTTCACAGGTACATTAATGTACGTGTGTAACAAATTTACTGGAGCGTTGTCTAAGTCAAATTTTCCGCAAATTAGCTGTTTAAATTTATGTATGTTTGAAAAATATTTTTAAAAATGACGGTTTTGTAGTAACCATGTTCATATTTGTAGACTTCATCATATTTAAATTGTATACTGAAGTGTATGGCTCAGTTGATTAGGGTGGTGGCTGATGTAACCTCTGGTGAATCTAAGGTGTGTGGTTCAAATGCAGCTTATCAACAGCTGTTAGTATTTCACAGGAAGCTGAAAAAACTGATCAGTCTGTTTTTTCATGGTTTTGTCCTGGGGCAAGAGTCAATATGTTCAGGCAACCATTTGACTGACCTACAATATGTACTCAGTGAGGTAGCCACCAGCTACTAAGAGATCATGCCTCAAAATGACCATTCTTGTTTATAGGGTGAAAAATATAGCAAACAAAAATTGTTTTTATATCTAACCATAGCTGTGAGCTTGACTAAACAAAATTGTGGCTCAAAATACAATTTGTGTTTCTAAGTAACCAGTAGGTTGTCAAGAGAAATCATTACTAGAGATGTCAACTTCTGGTTTCCATTAGGTTGGCTAAGAGGATTATGGCCTGTCATTAGGTGTTGATCAGCCAGGACTCATTATTAGTCTGTATATGTTGGCATTAATGGTTTAAGGTGTTGTGTTTACAATATACAACAATAGTCAGTTTTGACAGCAGTAACTCCATAGATTGGCACTTTGTTTGTATAGAGTTTAAGTTATCTTGTTTTATATCAGTCAGGCAGTTCATTATTGGTGGGCAATAATCATCTCACTGTGAACAAATTTGCGAATATAAATCTTGGATGTTCTCCTGACAAACAGCCCTACCATTTGTACTTGTGTTTGTTTCTTTAAATGTTTGTAGACATTAGACAACACTGTAGGTCTGTCCAGTGGTTCTGACCGATGGTTACCTAGCTCTGTCTGACCCATTGATCAGACAGGTAATACCAGGACATTAACTAAGCAGCAGGCTGTATCTCACCTGATTCACTGGCTGAGTCATCTCCAGTCATACACATAATGTAATTTAATAGTTCCTCACAAATTCTACGTACAGCTAGATTCAGGTGTGACATGGTTTCCCATACCTGTGTTAATGATCAACAGTAAAAGATTTTGTCTCATCGTTCACTGTCTTCCCAGTTAACTTTGACCATTATGATGTCTGATACAAATACAGTATCAGTTTGAGATCTATGTGGAGAAAATTTGATCCCTAGTCCCTTGTACTGATGTTGGAAACCAAAGATTGATCAACCTCATCTATATTTAGCCTGATGATCACCAGTTTATTTTTAATTCTCTGTCAGCTTCATGTTGACCTGTATTGACTCCCACGCTTGGTTATCTGTGAACTTCCACAATAGAGAGGGGGTGGTCGCAGACAGTCGTTAATATAAATGTTAATTGATATAAATATTAAGTGAAATGTTTACAACATGACTTCATTTCTTAGTTTGATAGCAGTTGGCTGATGTTTATGAATTTGCTTTGAATGCCACTTCGTTTGTAATGAAAAGGTATATCTGTCAATCCCATATTACAACACCTTTTTAAGTTAGAGAAAATTTTGCATTAGACTGCAATGCAGTAGAAATTAAATGATTCAATAGTTGTGTTCACCGTGGTTCATGGAAGTGTTCATTTGTTGTAATAAAGGTACATTGGGTTTTAATTAACCATGAAGATGAACACTTAAAGTTTCAAAGTGTGCTCTTTTTATCATCTTTCTCTTGTTGAAAACATGTATTGTTAGGTAATTGTTTGATAAAGCGTCAGTATTAATAAAGTCAGATACTCATTTCTTCTATCATGTAACTTTGAGTATATGTATTCTGACTACAAAGTCTTACAGGCAGAGGAAACATGAAAACAGAAACATGTGTGACATTGTCAGCAGAGGTTTTACTCCAAGGAAAAACTAGCTTGGCTGTTCTCTGTAAAATTTCAAACTATAAATGACTATTTTCAGTTTTAAGGGACATTTATTTGATGTACTCACTGTTCTGATACAGTGCAAACAGCTAGTGAGGTTGTAATCATTCATAAAACTGTGTAGTGTGTCTACTATATAATGTATGCTGTGACCTAGTATTTTGTACGAAGAAAAATGACTGGAATGCCAGGATGAAACCCTGCCTAGTTGTGTGTGGTATCTTTCTGTAATAGTATTGTAGTAACACCAACACACATGCTATGTATACATGTAAGCTTGATGTACACCTGGCATGTCTTTCTATAATTATAAGCCTTATTTAAGTTTTTAGGTCCCAAATAACAAATAGGCCACTTACAGCTGATCCCTGTAAGTCAACAAATTGATCCCTGCAGAGTTAATTAACCAGATGGGCCGAGCTACCAATTTGATACTTATGCCCAGGCCATTGAGGGCAAACTGACAGCCTGTCAGGTATTTTGCTGCCTTCTCTATGAATTTAATACCATATGGTGTAGTTAAAATGTTGACCCATGGCGTGTTGTTTTTCTATGGCAAATCAGGGTTATGAATCATAACGTGATAATTACTGCCCATAACCTGAATAGTTTTATGAGATGAGTTTATTGTTTGATGAGCTTGTCTGTTCAGGTTAGGATTGGCAGATGGGATTGACATAGATTTCAACAAAAGAAAGTTATTTTATGGACTGGTGATTTTCTCTTAAGTTATGGCCATGCTAAAACTGGGTGACCTTATTTTGCTTCCTTACTTTCCTATCTGTACACATACAATGTTAGTAAAGTTCCTTTTGGTCCAGTTAAGTGCAGGTTTTCAGAGTTTTGCTGACTCATTGAATACTGATTTCATTACTACAACAGGATGTTATTGTCTGAACCATTTACTATGGTGTTATGGCTCTCTGAATTTGTCCTAACATCCTCTGAATACCAAGTAGGAATACTGAATAGATTTCTGTACTAATAAGTCAGTTTCATGGCAATGTAATTTATCTATGTGTCTGGAATCCTGGTCTGAATAGCATCCACAGAATTTATGGTCATAGCAAATGATAGATGTATACACTGAGAAAATGAAGATACTTTATTTTACCTTAAATTATATATACAGAAAACGGTGAAAACAAACCCCAAGCTATGGCAAATGAAAACATTAAGGAAAAAATTAGAAGGGATTTAACAAGGTGAAAGAGGTATTTTAAGTTCATGAGATGGCATAAACTGGCTGCAGCAGTAGGAGAAACCTCATGCACTGTTATAGAGCTCTAACACAAAGTTGCATGATTTGTATCCCGGTGAAATATATCAAATCTGATGACTAGTAATGCCAGATGATGATTCACTTTGATGTTGTAGGCATTAGGAATGATGCGATCTTATAATCAAATATTGTATTGATATTAAAAATTATATGAAAATTGGACCCTTAACCTTGATCTCAGTTATGGACAGCCAGGTGTGGAACTTACAGGTGAATTGATGAGCGATGCCACAGTCAATCAGCTATTTTTTCTCAATGATGAGGTAAGACACATTCTCACACTAGAAAATTATGCTGCCTATAAATGTATATTTTTTATACAACTGACCTGAAGCACTATTCTGATGTGTTAGTCTATACTAACATGACACTAGTACCCTGATGACCTGGTATATATCTCAACTATTTTTCTGGTATGTGGTCCTAGATCCTGATGTTGACAACCATGTGTTACACTTAGTTGTAATTAATTCATATGTCTGTGGCAACGGAGATCAGCTCAGCAACACCAGCTGTAATGTACAGATAACACATTCTAGATTTCTAAATATTCAGAAGTCTTGTGAAAAAATGATGGATTTTTAATCAGTGCATCAGGTTGTACTTAATCAGTAGGTATTTGAATTAATTAACTCATTATGGTCAATGTCAAAATATTTTTTTTTGTTAATTATTACATACTGTCAAAGAAAGTGTACATATGTAAGGCATTGGTATTCAATGCCTCTTGCTTGAGAGTTAGTATTAGTGGTATCACAAGATAAAAAATTTTCCAATAATTTTCGAGTTTTTAATTGTGGTCATCCACTCCTCAATTGAAATGGAATGAAGCAGACATATTTCCCGGTGTTAATTTGATGAAATATGAGTTAATAAAGTCAATCGCGTCACAAGCATATGCTTTTCTTTACAGAACCTGGCACATTTTTGATTCTATGAAAAAAACAAAAAAATCAATATTTATCATTTCAGAAATAATGAAACAGAGGTTAGGTTTCTTGAATTAAACAACAGGAAGTTTATTCTATAGTTTGTGAAATAATTACATTTCAAATTGTCATTAACTGTAAGATGAAAAGACCATTGATGACAATACCATTTGACAGGTATGATATTCCCATATAGATATCAAACATGGTATATGACAGATCTGCCATTTTTATCCTTTTTTAGATTGCTCTCTAAAAACATTTTGTCATACATTACATGGTTTGTTTTTCTCCAGGGAAGACTGGTGGCAGTAAGCAGTGACAACACCATCTATTTGTGGGAGATCAATGTTAAAAAAGAGAAGACCGTTTTAGAGAATGTTAAAGAGTTTGTCTTCGGAGTAGAAGAAGGGTAAGGGAATATTCCTAGCTTTTGTGTCTGGCTCACTCTGTTATTAACCCATGCAGCCATTACAAATTAGATCAGCCTGACTCTGCAGACAGGGTTGTAGGGGACAAATTCATTCTTTAATTGCATGAGTTACCATGATAATTGTATTCCCAAATATGTCGCCTATTATGATGTTCACATATAATATTAGCATGTACTGAAATAACTTAACTGTAAAACCTTAATAAGAATTATGTCCCTTCCCCTTAAATAGTTATTTTGAACGGAATTACTATAAGCTTTAACTTTGTTTTCCCATCCCATAAGTATCATGTATGTGTGAAATTGTTGAATATTGAATTAAAATATTGTTTAATAAGATAAGAATTATGTCCCCTCCCCATAAGATAGCAGTGGGGATGGAATATGAATATCTCAGTTTAATAGATTAGGCTTCTAGGAGACATCAATATTTCAATTTATAGCATTCATGGTTGATTAAACATGATTTATGTCCATTTCGTGCATGTAAAATCATAAATCATGAGACACAATGTTACATGTTAATTACTTTTCATCGCCCAAAATTGTCTCATTGAGGATATTTGCAGCCAGGAAACTATAAATAAATGAGGTTTTTCAGTGCAAATATTACATCAATCATCAGTAGTACTACCATCAGTCTGTTTGATCCCAATACCAATTATTCACTGTCATTAAGTTTGACTTTTCATCCATTTACAATTGGTTATAGACTGTAAGGGACTAGAAATCTGAAGAAAGTTCCTGCTTTGTACTGAAAATATATGAAATATGATATAGATAATCACAGTTTCCTTTATATCAGCTGATGTTACCAGTCTCTACTTACTGGCAGCTCCAATGTTTTTAATCTGCTGTTGATCTTTGTGTCTACATTGGTGACAGCATAGGTATAAAATGTCTTTACTGATGCACTTTGAGTAGTGTTCTTTAAGAACTTGATATTCTCCACTTGTACAAGAATGTACACAGGCTGTGTAAAACAAAGTCTGAAATCATAAAAAGAAATCAGTGTTTGGTAACCTTATACCTTAACTTACAAAATATTTCCGTAAAGTTTTAAGACATGGGATATGATAACACAAGTACACAATCAGTGATTCATGATGTTACTGAAAACATGAGAAGTATAAGATTTTCCTACCAACTATATCCATGCCCTTTTTTATGACCTCCCTCCACTTCCCTCTACTCTTGCAATTTTTTTGAAGGGAGGAAGGAATTGAATGTCCTTTGTAATTTTGTCCCATCATGTCCGTATCAAGTAATTAATTTCTTATTATTAATTAATTAAATTTCAGAATTTTTTATCTTGTTAGGTAACAGAAAATAAATGTGGATTTGTATTCCTTTGACCTGTTCGTCATTGATTTTATAAGACTTGTATTTATTGGGTCTCATCACCATAAATATCTAATGGCCAACATCCCCAGGTAATCTTGTGATTAATTTCCTGTTAGGTATACACAATTCTCAGCACCAGATTATCAACCTATTTTGTGTATATGGTAGCTAGTAAAAAAAAAAATCAATCGCTTTCTCCGAGTTGGCTCTACTCATTCGTTAAATCTTTCCTACAGACATGGTTAAGTAACTGTCCTCTGTGATGGGATCAACCAACAACATTTCAATAATTGATTACATTGCAGTAGATCTTGTAAATGAATAGTGAACAATTATGTTTATCGTAGACGGCAGAGAAAGTTGATGCTGTGAAAAATCAATGAATCTTGTTTTTCTTCATTAATGTGTATGTTGGACTTAGCATGTTGAATAATTGTATAAATGTTTGTAGACTTCTATAACTGTGTAGATGTTTGTAGACAGCATCTGTAGAGGTCTTTTCACTTAGGTCCAAAATAATCCGTATGTTTCTGTACTCTGCAGCATATAGTCTACATGATCCTTATAACTGTGATATATTTTGTAACATCTCCCTGGGAACGGGCATTGTTTATATCATAGAAGTCAGACATGTGTTCCTTGTCTCCATTCGTCCATATATAGCACTCAGTAGACCTGATGCCTGTTTGATCAATTTTATTTAGTATTTGTCTATGCAGGGATGATGTCAAACTAGTAAATCCTATTTTTGTATCGTACAATAACAGAAGCACACAGTAGACTGTTTCATACAGGAAGACGGCTTTTAAGGCCTAATTACATCAATGATTCAACATCAGTTGTCTGCACTTGAGTGAAGTATTTATGAGTGAAGTATTTGTGAATGACATATCTACAAACCAGTCTGATGTGGTTGTGTCATTGGAGCACTGTTATCATGCTGGTTAGTGTCTCATTGTGTTTTCCACACTGTAAACATTGTCCATTTATAAAACTATATTGATGGTATTGTTTCAGATACCTGAAGGAGACTTTGTTATTAAAGACTATAAACCGCTATCCGAGTTGATATACATATATATTTGACCTATCTAAAGAGTACATCTGCGTAACTTGATAGTACTTGGAAATGCCCTTCCCATCCAGTGTAAAGACCTTAAGGCTGTGTTTAATATCTTATATCTGGATGCTGTTGTGTTTTATTACTTAAGAAGCTTTTATGGGTGAATATATTTGTTGAGTCCGTATAACTTCAGTTTCCATTAGATATGTTTGTGATTAATGTAACGAATCATAAGAATTTTTTATTCCAGAATCTAAAGCTGAAACAGGAAAAACATGTTTCACTAATTACATCTGAAATACAAACAAATTTAAAATCCTTTTTATCACAGAATTTTTATTTTCAAGCATACAATTTAGAAAACAGACATTCCTGTATCAGACTTGAAATAATTTCAGCTGTATAGCTGTGATCTCCGTTGTTACATCACAACCTTAGTGAGGTCATTTCATTGTCTTAATTTGTCGATGTTCCAATATTATGTAGTTCATTTGTGTAACAATAAAGAATATGATATAGGTATATTTACTGAATAGTGGTCAATCTGGAATTTATATTCTTGATTCTTTTTCAACTTTTATGCAAAAAGAACAAATTTTGGTCCATAATGTAAAATTTGATTATTTTAAGAAATTCTGTTAGTCCCATCAGTACAGTACTTGCGACTTCCGTGAAGAAATTAAATTGTTTTTAAAGAAATTCTGTTAGTCCTGTCAGAATTCTTTGAGCACAGTACTTGCGACTTACATGAAGATTGACTGAAGAGCAGGCCAGGTGGTGACTTTGGTTCAAAATCAAATGAATTAAATAGGATTTGATTTGTAGAACTTTTACAATATTTGTCCCAAGATTTTTCTTTTGAGAACAGTGTTTGGAAACATTGAATACTAAGCATTTGGTAAGTTTACATCAAAACGCACAACATTTGTATCTTATTGTATAACTGTGTGCTTCTAGTGTTTTATTTTGTTGATTTCTTTGGAAAAAGTCTAGTTTCATGCATTGTTTTTTGAAGATTAAAATATACTAAGGTTTATTTATCTTTGTTTTATAGGAAACCCAAGAACATATCAGTATGTTGTGTGACAAAAGACGGAAAGTGTTTGTTGATTGGGACAGAAGAGGGCAACATTTACATGCTAGATCTACAAACATTCAAACTTATGGAGCAGATTGTCTACCAAGATGTTGTCATGCAAAAGTAAGTGAACAATCTTCAGTGAACATTGGTACTTTAAGACGTTTTGCCTGTTTATAGTTGATAAAGTAATGGTTGATCTGAGCTGTACAGCTAGAGTCTGCAATTTACCATTTGTTGTAAGATTTTAGATTTTGAAAGATGTTTTTACAATAAATGTTTTCCAAAATTCTTGTAATTAATTTGTAAAAGTTAATCTGAATTTGTTAATTTCCAAATATTCCTATTTGCAGTGTACCGGATGATTTCAAAGTCAATCCTGGCGCAGTGGAAACAATTGCTAACCATCCCACTAATCCCGACAAGGTAAGATAATCATTTTAAAGCAAACATTGTTCTTGTCTATTAACAGCTTGTACATAATAATCCATAAACTCCAGTGATGAATTACCAAGGCATACAAATGATGATCAAATATTTCACCGGAATTTCCATCTGCATGTGATAAAAATTTCGATTGATTTAATTCTGTTATGCTTAACTGCATAATTTTATTCCGCTTGTCGTGAAAAAAATTATTTAGTTTGTAAATGCTTAGATGTGTAATTTTATTCCCCATTCCCTGCAGTAGTGTAAAATTTTAATATTGATCTGTAATCAGACCAGCAAACATTATTGTAAGGCCATCATCATGGGCAGGAGGTTAGGGGTCTTACGTGTTTGTTTCATTACCCCGGTATCAACAGGTATTGATACACACTGTTGTCAACAAAACAATCCCTAAAGCAACATATCACATAATGCCAACTCAAAAATAAACAGTCCGGAGTTATTTCCTGTAGGATTCCATCCCCGTTCGTTTGGTTTGGAAATGTTGGTGTGTGTGTCTCTCATAAAAAATAATTATCTCATGCTAGCTGTAACGCAATCCCAAATACAAACAAAATTTCAGGACAATACTTTTGTGATGTCAGGAATTCTGATTGAATCGAGCAGTGAATGATTCCAGGAATTACACTGTTACAGATAACTGATACAGAAACACTTTTAAGTGGTAATGATAATTTTGGTGTTGGGCTCTATGTTTCTGAGTGTTTTATAAACCGAAGAATTCACTCGTAGTACCAGAAAATTATCACGCATCGTAAAATAAATATAAAGCATAAATGTAGGTCCATTCTCTTGAACATATTTAGCATTATTATCTCATTTTTATCATACATTTATGAAATACGAAAAAATTATGAAAAAAAATCTTTGCTTTTCCAAGATTTTATGTGCCCATTATTTAGTTTGAGTAGTCAAGTTGATGATAAGTCTATTGTTTAAAATGCCTTGCATTGCAAGATTATTGAAGGGACATTATCATTATATCATAGATAAGTAATCTACTTGAGGTAATTAGTTGAGCAGAAGTGCTTTTCACAATAAACACAACAGTTACTGTCAGTTAGATGATTTTATTTTAACAGTTCTTGATCGGCTACAACAGAGGGTTGATTGTGCTATGGGACAACAAAGAATGTAATGCTGACCAGACCTACAATGCTACACAGGTGGGTTACTAGCCAAACATTTCTTAACTTACTATACTTATTATTTACTCCTAACTGTCCATACTCTATTCTAGTTATCCCTCATATCACCCAGCTGGAGTCAATTTAAACTACTTACTAGTTTATTTCTTTGTATTTAGGACATAAGTCTCCTCAGTTTTGTTCCAAACTAAGATATTTTTATATACCTAGTATTTTTTGTAACTTGTCTCTTTCATGTGAAATTGTTCTTTCATTAGTCAGAATTAATATCACATTGATGTTAAATGTAAGTGACAGTCATTTGATCATCAGATCTTGTTTTTGTACATTTATAGCAATTAGAGTCTGTAGCATGGCACCGAAATGGGTCAGAGTTTATTAGTGCTCACATAGATGGTAGCTATATCAAGTGGAAGTCCACAGACTCCTCAGAACCCAAGGAACCGGCTCTGACTCCCTACGGTAAGTTTTACACCTCAACAGACAAGTAACTCCAAACATACAATATTTTGCTTATAGGAGGACTGGGTGTAGAGCCCCATTTGAAAAATAGTTTTAAAAAAGTGAAGAATTTCAGCCCTTAGTAAGATTTTTTTTTACAAACATTATAAACAAGTTTTACATAATTTAACACAGACATCCAACATTCTTACTGTCATGTCTTGATTGGTTTTACATTATTTCAAGCTCTGTTGAGAATTATGGTAATTTAAAGTATTTATGCAAAGGTGTAACACTTGTTTCTACCGTACTTTATAGCCATCTGTAGTTTGTAATAAAAGTGCTGAATTGAAATCCATATGTGACAATAGATGCAAATGAATGGAGCAGATAAATGGATGTCTGAGTCATCCTTGTTTGCATAAATCCCACGACATACGCTGACCTTTTTTATTGCAAATACCTTTGGCTCATTGGTTACACGCACAAGGGTATTATAACTGATTTCAGTTTAAACATTCATAAACAGTGAATATATTAACACAAAGCAATGCAAATAAAATTATTCTTACCATGTTTCTTCTTAAATGTTGTCTACAACAATATATATTTATATCTTATCTGGATTTGTATAACTAGTTCATGTTTGTTCCCGGCAGTAATAGGAATATAAGGAAATCCCTGCAGTATCTACCCTCTCCGTATTGCTAGGATCTGAAAGTGCAGGGAAATCCCTGCAGTATCTACTGTCCCTGTATTGCTAGGGTCTGGAAATACAGAGAAATTCCTGCAGTATCAACCTTCCCTATATTACTAGGGTCTGAAAATGTAGGGAAATCCCTGCAGTATATATCTTCCCTGTATCACTGGGGTCTGGAAGTGCAGGGAAATCCTTGAATATTTGCCCTTCCCTGTATTGCTGGGATCTGGAAATTTAGGGAAGTCCCTGCAATATCTACCTTCCCTGTATTGCTGGGGTCTGGAAGTGCAGGGAAATCCCTGCAATATTTGCCCTTCCCTGTATTGCTGGGATCTGGAAGTGCAGGGAAATCCCTGCAGTATCTACCCTCTCTGTATTGCTAGGATCTGGAAGTGCAGGGAAATCCCTGCAGTATCTACCCTCCCTGTATTGCTGGGATCTGGAAGTGCAGGGAAATCCCAGCAGTATCTACCCTCTCTGTATTGCTAGGATCTGGAAGTGCAGGGAAATCCCTGCAGTATCTACCCTCTCTGTTTTGCTAGGATCTGGAAGTGCCTACCCTCTCTGTATTGCTAGGATCTGGAAGTGCAGGGAAATCCCTGCAATATTTGCCCTTCTCTGTATTGCTGGGATCTGGAAGTGCAGGGAAATCCCTGCAGTATTTGCCCTTCTCTGTATTGCTGGGATCTGGAAGTGCAGGGAAATCCCTGCAGTATTTGCCCTTCCCTGTATTGCTGGGGTCTGGAAGTGCAGGGAAATCCCTGCAGTATCTACCTTCTCTGTATTGCTGGGATCTGGAAATGAAAAAAAGATACCTGTGGTATTAAACCTCCTTGTATTGCTTGAAGTTAGATATAGTTTGGCTTTATACATTATTAGGTTGATGACAGGTGTAGAACAAGACACTGGCTCACCTGAACAGAGGTAGACTGCCTTGTGGACATGCTTGACTGACACCCTGTCTTGTTTAAATCCCCATACCTTTAGATGTTAAACATATGTTGTTTTGTAGGCAATATTCTTCCTGTTCAGATGATACTCAGTCTTTTGTAATTTTTTGTCCAGTGGGTGGGCATGACTTTTTGAAAAGAGAATATTTCTTTGATAGTAATTGATTTTAATCAGCCAGGAAAAAATTTCCAGTAATGGCATTAAGCACGCTAACAGGATGAGGCTTCATTATGTCTTTCAGTGTAGTACAATAAGTACAACAAAAACACTGATAGAATTTGGTTTTATAAATTAAGTTAAATTTTTCATCTTTAAGTATTGTAAGAAAAGGGAATAACTGATTCATCAGTATGAGCCATGCTTTAGTGTACATCAGGCCTTTTTTCAAGGGCCTTGTGAGGTCGATTATGGTTCCCATTCCTAATTAGATTTATTTCATAATCAGGCAAAATTCTCAAGAATATGTGAAGAAGATATCAAGTGATTTCTTTCCTTTAACCGTTCTGTACTTGAAGTTATTTGTTTGCATTTTAATTGGTACTGCATTCCAAAAACAGCTGAATTGGAAAATTTGAATGTAATTATCTTCAAGTGACTGATTTTTTAGCAGATCAATTCCATAATTTGATCTTGGAATTTAAATGAAATTCAACATCAAGTTAGAACAATATCTGATTATTTAGAATGCTTGAACTGAAATGTGTTTAACAATTGGATTTGTGATCCTGTTTTCAAATCAGATAATCTATTGATTTCATATTTCATGATAAAGAAATTAAAAGAGTGGATGAAGAGAGCTTGATTTAAAGTTAGAAAAGATTAAGATATATTGATGATAGTGGTGTAATGTCATGACTAACAGGTGTTTCAGAATCAAGATAAATGCTGTAGAATATTCTAAGTGTATGACTCAGTGTTTTGATGCTGCATTCTGAAACAGTGTAAGTGTTAAATTAACACAGACCAGAGCGTCAGAGTGCGGTGTTATTTAGATATTAACATTACCCCTAGGGCTAGTAAAAAAACCTTTAAGTTGAAAGTACCAGATTTTGCTGATTGCATTAGGGTGTGACATGATGCGTGAGATTACTCCGAGTATTGGTAGTTGGTTAACAAGGTTTCTTATGTAATATGTAAAATGACATAGCGCAGATTTACTAACAATGACAAAAAAGCTGAAATTGACACCAGTAGGATTGACTGACAGGGATATAGAACAGAGGTTTAATTGACAGGGACTGATTCCAGGTTGGCTGTCTTGTGCTGGATACCCAGTCCAATGACAGTTGCGATAACAGTAACTTTTTAAAGGATCCAGCCATGGCTTTATTTACGAAAAAAGATTGTTGTTGTCTTAATGAAATAAAGACCACTGGAATGTGAAATAAGTTGTCTGTGATACGGGAGACATGTGTAACAGTGGTATCTGTCTGTTATAGAGATTGACGGGTCATTAGATACTAACTACTGACTGACATGCAAGCTAGATTTCTGATTCAGTGCTGTAGAGCTGACTAAAAATATTATAATACTAGAGAAAGAGCATTGTTAAGTGACTTAGATTGCCGTGTAGGCATCATGTAGAGGAGAAATTACATACATATGTTGGGTTTTATTTAAGTTAAAAAAATTGAAGTTACAAAACTTAAAACTCCTGGATGTTAAGACACTTAAACCTGTTGAATATGACCCCTTGATATTATGACACGAAAATCTGTTATATATTACACCTGGGTAGTAATTTTCTTTAAGTAATTGTAATGTTAAGAGGGATATTCATATCAGGATGTTTTTCCTATTTGATAATTATACTTTATAACAGTAGACCAGTTCAAGGACAAAAATGTTCATGCGTATCCATTTATAATACTTGTAAGCTGAGCAAACTAGCAAAGTAGACAGTTGTTACCTAGAATATCACTGCCTGCTGTCACTGCCCAGCAGTGGCAGCCAGTTGTTACACAAGTTACATAGCCTTTCCATGGAGAGTGCTAAAACAACATTACAAAATGTCTATTCCTGTGTGAGAAGTATTGATTTTATATAAAAAAAAGGAAATGTGGCAACAGATTTCTGTATGTCTATTTAAACTTCAACACATGATTAGAGTGGATTATGTTTTATCTTATAAAAAGCTGTTTTATTCATTAGTGTAACATTTCAATTTACATTCAGAACAAATGTCTTCCATGTGAAATAAGTAGGAAAAACTGGGTATTTTAATACATACCTTGCTGGGAAGTAGATGAATTTTTAAACTTAGGCTGATAATCAAAGACTTGCAGATAAAATTATGTATGGAAAACTTTGTGTAAAACTATTTATAGACACTCAACTGTAAGCTACCATATTTACCTAACAATAAGCCCATGCTGTTTGTCAGACTACAAACAAATGCTATATCATTGTCCTCTAACAAGCCCTATTATCTGATTTAGAGACAGAGGTATGCCCCTGGTGTTACTGTAGGGTAAATATGGGGTGTAAATTGTTTTTTTACAGCAGTAAATTAAAAAAAAATTGATACCATATTATCTCCAATAAGTCCATGCTTTCTAAGAATACAACCCATTACAGTAGATTTTTTTTGTACTATTATGAGCCCATTCCTTACTTAAAGTTTGAGGGTTTTATGTTGGTCAATTAAATCTGAAATTTAATCTGAAAGATCAGATTTCTTAATTTTTGTTTTTTAACTTTTCACAGGTCCTTTCCCATGCAAAGCCATCAGCAAGATCTGCTGGAAAACAGCGAAGAGGTAAGCATAAGCACAGCAATAAATCAACAACGTATTATAGCTGTACAAGATTGATCAACCCTCACCAGGTCGAGATAGCTCTGGAGTCATCAATGCTGGTTAACTGCATCTCGTATGCCAAAGTGTTTCTCTCTTCCAAATAATTTTATGAATGGACAATTTTCATTTCTGATCATTCCAAAGGGTTTTCTCTGGTAATATCTACCCTGCCCAGGGGAAAAACCATTTTTTTTTTTGCAAAAATGAAATTTCTGTTTTATTTTTAATATCAATCCTTAGCTAAACCTTCCCGTTAATTCAGTGTTAATGAGAGTCTTGCTGTTTACATTTTCAGTGACCCGTTCATCATATTCTCTGGTGGTATGCCAAGGGCTAGCTATGGAGACCGTCACACCATCAGTGTGATGCAGGAGAATTCAAACAACCACATTGTGTTTGACTTCACGTCCAAGGTGGTGGACTTTGTTACTCTGACACGGGCTGATGAAAATGATACCAGCGAGGAAAGGGATGGTAAGAAGTGCAGTTTTAGTAGGAATTGGTTAGAATGGACACAATTTGTAGAGTGCATATTTCTGCACTGTTCATTTTTTGTTGATCAAATTATATGTCTGATTTCCATGTCGTAACATTGCGTTATGCTTTGGTTTTTTGACTTATAAACTGTATTGTTAAATAAGAAGTTTAATTTGTATGTTAAGTTTGACAACAGTTGACTGGTTTACGTAGTTATATCTGTATATATTTATTCCTATATCATACCAACTGGTGAACATCCTTCTTGTTATAAATTTTTTCTGGCAAGGCTTCTCTATAACCTTCAGAGAAAAGTGAAATAAAATCAGAGTTTTTCTTATTCTCTGCCTTACAACAAGACCAAACATCATATTACAGAGAACGATGAGCCCCACACATTGGTTGTACTGGCCGAGGAGGAGATTGTCCTTATTGACCTTGACTCGAACAACTGGCCAACATTCCGTCTGCCTTACATGAACAGCTTGCACTGTTCTGCCATTACCTGTTCTCAACATATTGGCAACATCCCCAATCAGCTCTGGCAGAAAATTTTGGATGCAGGAGAAGCTCAGATGGATGGCTTGTCAAAGAGAGTGAGTCATGCAGATTAATGAATACACAGGGAAAAAAAGTTCAACAAATTTCAATTGTTTATTTCAAAATTAAAAAAAAAAAAAATATTTAAAAATGTATTTTTTTTTCTTGCCATGGTATTTGCCATCAATACTTTGTAATTTCTGCCTAATTAAGTTTTATGTTTAGTTTACGATTATGACTTGGTTTATAACTTCTAATTGTTGAATTGTTTAGGACTGGCCTATAAATGGAGGTAAACTTGAAGGAGCAGAAGGGTCAACTAAAGACTTGATGCTGACTGGGTAAGTTTACTGAAATATTTGATGAATTGTTCAATGTTAAGTTTGTGTAGGTAGCTGTATAACATGCATAATTTGCTAGTATTGTTTGAATCCCACATTTACCCGTAAGTATGTATAGTTGTCTGTAACTGCTAGTCTTAAGATTATTATGCAAATTAGATCATGACCAGCATGTTTGTACTTGTATTTTATCAAGAGGAAATTTATGAAATAAAAATTATGGTTTTAGGTAGGTTAGAATTTGGATAATGCAATATATCCCAACATGTCTGCAGGTGTTGGAGTGTTCTTGGTGGTTTTAACCATTTCGCAGTAAGTTAAGGTTATTTGTAAATTAGATATGATGTAATGATGTTACCATTACTATGTGGTTAAGATGTTTATCTCTTACACAAAGATTGAAAACTGTTAGCAAGTTCTTGAAAATGTCTTGCTACCTTGGTCAAGCTAAGAGGACAAATTACTCAATGCAGGGTTCTTGATCTGCCAGATTTGGGGCCGAATATTCCCAATGCAAAATGGTATCTTTTTTTCCCAATTTAGACCCCAAGTTTTCCCCAATTCTAAGGAAAACGTCGCTATTTTTCCCAATTCTAAGGGTCCCAGGCCCCAGTCCCAAAATGGGGTGTGAGAGCCCTGCAATGAAATTCATTATTCAGTAATGGAATAAAAGTGTTGAGTTGACTGTCAGATTGTCAAGATGCTTTTTTATCCCTACTGCACACAAACACTTTAGGTCATCTGAGGGACAGTCAATCTTTCATCTTATCAAATAACAACAAACTGATGATTTCATCCTTGACCTTTCAGTTAAGTTGTTTGCACCACCTTTCATTCCACCATTGATTTTCAGTCATGAAGATGGAACAGTAAAATTCTGGGATGCATCAGGTACTTCCATGAAGTTGTTGTACAAGCTGTCAACCTCTAGCATATTTAATGTAGACATCCATACAAGTGGCGACAGCAATGGTGAAGTTGAGGAGGAGTGGCCTCCCTTTAGAAAGGTAAGTTCAGTTCTGACACTTGGGGTATAGTAAGATTCAAATTGCTGTGGGTTTTGTGGAATTTTGGAGTTTAATGGAGTTTTAAAAATCCTGATGCACAGAGCTTTGCTAACTGGAAAGCAGTTTGACATATCAAATATTTGTCAAAAATCAATATGTGACAAGAGGCATTTTGCAGTCACATATTAACATTGCTTGATAATTATGTTAGGTACATGCTGTGGAGGTATATTCTATGGCTGTAATGAAAATATCTTGAATTATTTGTTAATTTTGTTTAAATTAATTGGCTTACTGGGACTTGCTTGGAAATGTAAAGTTTTCTTATTTAAATTCTGTTGGAAGTGTAAAATGTTTATTCATTAAGTATTACGATATCGTTGTTAGAATAGTATAACATGTAAATATAACATTTCAATATTGGTGGTAAATTATTGTTAATAAATCTGACAATTTCATTTACAAGGTTGGAAGCTACGATCCATTTAGTGATGATCCGAGACTTGGCATCCAGAAAATCTCCCTTTGTCCACTCAGCGAGACACTGGTTATTGCAGGAACAGCTGGTCAAGTGGTCATCTTACAAATGGAGCGTGAAGATCGAGAACAGGAGGTAGAAACAGTGAAGGTCAATGTTGTGAACGATCGTGACAGTTTCGTGTGGAAGGGTCATGAAGCGCTACCACAACGGGAGGGAGACATCAAGTTTGCGTCAGGATTCCAACCCACAAGTGTGATGCAGGTGTACCCACCGGCTGCATGTACCGCTCTTGCATTTAACTCTGAATGGCAGCTGTAAGTGTTAGATCATATAACACAGGATCATTTGTTTAGGGAACCTCTTGTCATTGCATTGAAATCTATTCAGATTAGTGTTGGTGTTACAGGGTTTTCCATAAGAGCCGGTCGCCAGCCAATTTGACCGGCTACTTTGATCATTTGGCCGCCTACACCAATCCAGTTCCGTAATAATGTGCAGGCCAGCCTCCTACTTTCACTACACAGCCTACTACTAACAAAATTATGGAAAACCCTGGCGTTAGAAAAACTGAAAGTGGTTAAGTGGCAGGACAGTAATCTTAGAATCTTAGGAACCTGAATGGCGTGTTGAATTAGTATTTCACTGAGAAACTTGTTCAACTTTCTGTTTTCGAATTGTGGAAAGAGTAGAAAGTTGATTTTCAATTGTTACGATTTATACTCGAACTGGTTGACGGAATCAAAATCACCGTCTCAAATACCTGTCTGACATTCCATAGTATCAAGGCATTAAGGAACACCTGTAACCTTTTATGTATTTTAGATGTTTTTGTATGTTACAGAGTAGCCGCTGGTACAGCCCATGGCTTTGGTCTGTTTGATTATGCCCAGAAGAAGGAAGTGTTAGTTCGCTGTACCCTTAATCCCACAGGTTGGTCTTGTTGCTGTCATTAAACTACTGTAATATCAATGTTTTACTTGTTTTATTCTCGAATTTTTTGAGCTGTAACATGAGCCAAATGAAAACAGGTTACAAAATAAGTAGTGTGTGAGAGGAGATGGGTATGGTCATGATAGGTGAAGTTTAACAGTGGAAAACATTACTGCTTTCGTGGATTAAAATGTATACAGTATTGTGTAAAGAACCTTAGGATGTTGCCGTAAAGTTTGGTATTATGTTATATTGCCCCTTATTTTAATATAGATTCAAGTTGTAAAAGTTACAAAGGAAAACTGAAAAATAAATAGATGTATATATCTTTGATAATTAGCTATGGCATGACAGGAAAAGGTAGATTTAATCAAATTATCAGGCAGAACACAATTCAAATCAGATGACTTCTCACTCCTGTTTTTGTCTGGACTACTAGAAAAATTGCGTTTACTCCGTGTAAGGGTCCCTTTCTGAACAGTGTGTGTTTCACAGAATGCTGACATCAGTGGCTGTCCTGTGCTGCCGTATCTGTTTGAGAAAGGTATTTGATTGTAGTTGCCCTGTAACATGAGGCAGACCCCTAGCATGATGTTGAATTAGGTAACAACCTGTTGTAACAGCAATTTGCTTAAAGTGGATTTACGTCGGCAGTTATGAATATGTTTCATGTTTCCTCCATTAGGACATGCACTTTACTCAAAGACTACATATTTGGATCATAACATCAGTGATAAACTTATTTTACAGATATGAGTGGAACATCAGATACGCCTATGTCAAGGAGGAAATCCCTGAAGAAATCCTTGAGAGAATCATTCCGTAAGCTGCGACGGGGACGTTCACAGAGACGAGAAAAAGTAAAGAAAGATGAGAAAACGTAAGTATCGTTCCTGTTGCTTTATAAGAAAAAGGCTTTTTTATTCAAAATTCATAGCACATTCTTGAAAATGCACCGTTCCCTAATTTTTGCAGTTAAGTGTTCTTGAGAGCATTTATTTTTAGACTGCTGCTTAAATTAGATCTACTGTTTTATTTCTTCATTGTCAACATCAATATATTACAACTTGACATGATAAAGCATATATGTGGCATGCTTTGACTTTATAGTGAGGAAAAGACCACTGGTATAGAGGAGACCCCAGCAGAGGGCGCTACCAGTCGGACATCCCCAGCAGCATCACCTGAACCTCGCCCAGTGGAACGAGCTGTAGAAGCTCGCAGCACAGAGGATTCCATGGCATCAATGGTTAGATGTCTGTACTTTGCAGATACATTCATCACACAAGGTAAGTTAGGGTCGATCTTTCTTCTACTTAAGAAGTTAGAAACAGAGCAGTCTTTCATGAGAACAGCCCTCAACAGTTTGATATTGAATGACAAAGATGATTCACCTCTCGCCCATTTCTGTTTATTTCCATCGGTGAAAATTTTTGATAAAATTCGCAGATTAGAATTCTTTTCTGTTCCATTTCCTTTTATTTACACCAGTAAAAGTATTTTAAAAAATTCCCTGATTGAGTTCTATTTATTTAAAAAATTATCTAACTTTAGAATGTAATGAAAGCTGAATTTTTTTGTTATAGGTGCTGGAAACACTCCTTCACTTTGGGTTGGTACAAATGGTGGACATGTCTACATCTACAGCATAAATGTACCAACAGAGAAAAGGTCAGAAACAGATGTTGCATCGCTACTTGCTAAAGAAATAAAGCTACGTCACAAGGCACCGGTAATTTCAATCGGTGTGGTTGATAGCCGTGCCCGAACCCTTCCTGATCCACTTGAGGTCCAACATGAGCGAGCCAAAGCTCCAGAAATGTCAGGACAGCATTCCGTAGTTATTTGCTCCGAAGAGCAGCTCAAGGTATGTAGAAAAAATTAGTGAGGGGTCTGGCTATAATAAATCATACGCATCGTAATGAATGATGTCGTGAAGGTAGCTAGGTGGTAGTCGTTGAAATCTTGCATACAAATTTTATCAGAGAGATAAATCTCTTGCTGTGGGGAAATTTGTTCACACTATAACTGTCATTTTTTAGATGTGATTATACCAGTATATTAAGAATGCATACCATTTATCTAGCGTTTGTGAATGGTAATTGAGAAATAGTAGTAAACATTTGGATGGATTGATGATATGTTTACAATTCAGTAATTTATCTATATATGCTGAAATTTCATAATTGTATTATATGCATTACCTATATGTACATATGTACTTACCTATGTGTTTTGCTGTTTGTAGATATTTTCACTACCCCAGCTGAAGGCAAGATGGAAGTTCAAACTTACTGCTCTTCACGGCTCCAGAATCCGCAAAGTTGCTTTTGTCACATTTAGAAGCAAAAGTGGTCAGTTAAATTGATATTTTTCTGCTAAATTTCCTTGTCATTATTTTTTATCAAGATTTCTCAATGGATGAATACATCACATACAAATGTACTGAAGTTTGTAATTTTACATTTCAGATGAAAATTACACAGAGAATGACATTGCTTGCCTTAGTAACCAAGGTGATCTGAGTGTGTACTCAATCATGACACTGCGGGAACAATTAATGGCTTCGGCCCTACGTAGAGAAGACATCAAGTAAGAGATGATCTCGGCAGGGGTGGGAGGCTGGGGATTGGGTCACCAATGTCTTTCCAATTGTTTCCTGTTCAAGTGAATGTTATAACTGAAGCAGCTTCATTTCTTATGGGAGATTTCAATGTAACTTTATGCTTAGTCAACTTTGACTACCTCAAATGTATTTAAGATTCTGATGTTAAAGTCCATGTTTAATGCTATTTATGGAAGTTTGTCAAACATAATTCTATGAGAATGAGGTTGTGCTTTATTGATCAGTCAATATTGGACCATGTCCTATAAAAAAAAATCTTTTTAAGTATCCTTTTCAAAAGAAATGAAATTTTTTTTTCTGTTTTAACTGAACATCTTGCAAAGCTGTTAATGTAGTACTCTATAAAAACATGGATGGTTTTGTTGCAGTGGTATCTCGTCCTTTACCTTTACAAAACAAGGCCAGGGCTTTTTCCTGAACTCTCCGTCAGAATATATCCGTGTCACTCTGTCATCACGGTATGTGACAGATTCTAACTGTGTTGTGGAACTGAAGGAAGGCATGAGACCTGAGCCAGAACCGGAACCAGAACCTGAGCCAGTTGTAGAGGCCACCCCTGTGGCTGAGGCTGCAACAGAGGGTGCTGATGAGGGTCAAACACAGGAAGAGGAAAAACAAGGGTAGGTTATTTGTTTTCTTACTCAGAATGAATGATTGATTGATTTGTGACAACTTAAAAAAAAAAAGGTCGTAATTATACAACACATGCTTATGCTGTCTGTATAGACTTGAAAAGAAAGGTAGGTATTTTGATCATTACAAACTGTACACTTTCATAAACAGCTCATGTTGCTTTATGTAATCAGGACATTCATGGTTCTCTACATTGAATTATAGCACAAATTCAGAGATAACACTGTTGATATGCAATCATATTAAGGCCTCTGGAAGGAAAATTCTTGTAAACAATATTGTTTGGAAGTGGTCTTAAATTTCAAAAGGTTGGTGTGATTTGCCATGGTGAAAAAGGACATAGTATTTTGAAGGACCATAAGGTGACTTGTGTTTTGTGGTGTTGTAGCGAGGGCGAGAACCTAGCGAGTCAACAGCAGTACAACAGTGGGGATATCGCTGAGGCTCTTAGTGATTCTCAGCTGATGAATGACTCGCGGGCAGATACAACACTAGAAGGGGAGATAACTCAAGACAGTATCCAAGTGTTAGTATATCACTACTAACCACTAACTTTTACACTGGGAATGTTTGTGGGCTCAATGACTTTCGTGTCTTCTGCAGTTCATTTACTATTTCTGAAGAGTTAATCTGCATGAAAATCTTTGAACAGTTCTTGGCTAGTATCAGTCAGCTTCACAGTACTTCTGTTAAGTTTATTCTGAATTCATTTGTTACTGTTTGGTTGCTTTTTGTGTATTTCTTCATGTTTCTGATATTCTGAGGACAGAATATAAATGTGTCTTCCCGAAGTGTCTGTATAACAGTTTCCATCCTGACACATGCTTTTGTTACTGTATTATGCATAGAAAAGCTTTGTCACTAAAATCCTACATAACCACCTGTCATTTCTCTTAGTTTTTTTGTGTCTTTTGCTTATTGTGTTATGCTGTTCTTTCCAGAAATAGGAATTTACATTAAGCTTTTTCATCTTACTGCTGAACTCGCTTGGATTACTTACACTAATATTCATGAAAGTTTTCTCTCTGATTTAAGTAAAATCCTTAAAAGTGTTTCTGTGTATTTTGAGCAGCAATGCTATGAAAACAATAAGTACTATTCTATATATTTTGGCTGATTGAAATAATATTTTTGAGTTAAATATATATAGATGTGTAAGCACATAATGTTACATCTTCCTCCAGAACCACACTTAAAGGAAATGCTAATAGTTGCTTAAGATTTATACCACATCGCCTTTATCATAAAATGCAAGATTTTCCCTAATAAATACCACCTCTCTCACATTAATTTGGAATAACCTATATTCTGGTCTCGTATAATGTCTCAGATATATTTTTCTATATCAGTAATATCAAAACTTAAGGTGCTGGAAATACTACTCTACAGAACTATTGTACATTTTTTTTGTTTTGTGCGGAGTGAAAATACTCATAAACCAGAAGAAATGTTTAACAGTACTAATAATACATGGTACTCAAGTGTTGGTCTTGTGAAATCTCTAGTCATTGACTTTGTACATTGTCTTTATTTGGAATTATTGTTTTAAAGATGATATCTGTATGAATGAGATTGGTAAATAGCATAGATTGTGAAGCTTTATGAAGTGTTTCATTGATTATGACCTTTTTTTGACCTTCAATTGCAGTATGGAGACAATTTCCAGTGAGGTGACCACAGAGGTCCAGTCCAATACCGTTGTCCAGACAACGACCACAACAGTGGCTGAGGTATCACAAACAGCCTCCTCCGTCATGGAGACTGTCACTACAGTGTCATCGTCAACGACAGAGGCAATTACCACACAAGGTATGTAGTACTGTCTATTGTGAGAGGAATGAAGTATAGTTGTTTTATATATAATTTATTTGATGTATTCATAGGAAATGTGTTACTTCAGTTTTAAAATAGTTTAAATCAGTTTGACAAAGAAATTTGTTAAGTTTTCATTTTAATTTTGTGTAAGTGAAGATTGAAATATTACAAATATACTTAGTATTCATGAAGTATTATTTAATCCAAGCAATTTTCTTACTCTGTCAGATAATCATTATTTCAAGATGCACATTGTTAATATTAGTTGATAGAAAGGCATTGCAGGTCAAAAAATGTTAATTAGGATTTTTGTAACATCTTTGTTTTCATATGAATCCATGAAATAAGAAAACCTGGAAAATTCAATCTATTACCGTATTTGTCCAGCAATAAGCCTTGTAATAAGCTAAGCCTCATGTTAATTAATGTTTCATTGAATTACACTGTTCTATAAGTCCTGCCCCTGAGGTTTTGTGTTCACCATCAGGGCTTATTGTAGGATAATTATGGTAAAATGAAAATTCCTACAGCAAATAAATTGCCATGAAATGACATTTTTACCTACAGTAAATAACATAGACGACGACACCAAGGCGACACAGCCAGTTGTGGAGGTGAGAGGCGTCCGTTGTACTTTCTCTTATGACATCCCAACATAGCACTAATCACTGCGCTGTCTGGTGCCGCGAGTGTTTTTTTGTGGTGGTGGTACTGTGATTAACATTATCTCATTTTAACATTCTGTCTTTTCTTCATTTCTCTCCCTATATTGTCTTACTTTCATTTTTAATTCCAAACTTACACTGTCATGTTTTTGATTTTTTCTTTTGAGTTCATTTAGAATTAGTGTTGATTCACTTTTCAACTGATTGTTTTGAGAAATCAGGTAAAATATTTTGGTACCAGGTATGAACTTCATTAAGTCTTGATGAGGGAAACAGATTTGGGAACTGTATTTGTTCAGAAGGTTTAACACAACCAATAGTTCAGATAGATCTTTAGCCTTTGTTTATATATTAAGTGAAAAAAGTTTGACAGATTTTCCAAAAGGAATACCTGAAAATGTGCATGACCCGGATATTGTGTATATACAGTCAAACTTCTATGTTTCGAAGTTCAAGGGACTTACAAAAAAACCTTGATATATAGAGACTTTGTGGTGGGTTGTATCGATATTTATAGTTGATGACACAATATTTCTACCTGAATAAACACACCAAATATACCAAAACAGAAGTATAAATGAAAAGATGTATTTTTATTTCAAAACAAACATTTTCATTATGAGAAAATAAAAACAACTTTAAATTGACACTGCATGCTTACGCTTAGATTGGTGCCTTCAATCACACAGTGTGTGCTTTGCAGATCAATATTAAATGAAATAAAATGTAGCACAATTTCCTAAATTAGACCCAACTATATGGCATTACCTAAATGGTGGCAATGAACATCACACAACACCCCATTATTTTTTATTAAATATTATGGCTTTTAAATATGCAATTAACCTTGCAACACAGAGCCAATGATAGTGTGTTGTTGCTTATCCCATTGTCAGGTAGCTCTCTTTGTTAAATTGTGTGAAATGTGAAACTGTACAGGTAAATGTTTTATTTGAATCACAAGGTATTCATGACAATGTTATCATAGCTATTGGTCTGTGAAAAAAAATTGATATATTGAAAATTTCAATTGATAAAATTTTGATTCACAAAAGGGTAGTAAGTTGGTAGTAATATATAGGAATAAAATTTTGGACCAGACAAAAACTTTGATGCATCAAGAAATTTTAATCAACCAAGTTCGAATCATAGAAGTTTGACTGTATATGTATACATGGATACATACACATGTTCATTATACCTGATTTTGCATAAGATATTAATATTTCTCATCCCCTTGTATATAGCACATACATTGTAACTTTGTAAAAGTAACTATATATATTCTTATCCATGTCTAGTTTATAAAATTACTAATTCTAATGATGTTATCAACCTGACTTTGTTTAACCCAATATTTATCTTGTAGTTACCAATAGATTTCTAAAAACAAAAGATTTAATTAACTTTTTTATGCAAGTCTTTCGTAATATAAATTGAAGTAGATTGTTTGAAAAAGCTTTTACACATTCAGAAAGTATGTTTGTTTAGAGAGCATCATGATAAAGCACGTTGTAGTTTTTATAAAATGGTCATTGTGTTATTAAACATCATCCAAATGTTTTATGATTTGTGTTTCATACTTTTCCTACGTATATCATTGTCTTTCTGTCCATTGGCTCACCATTACTGAAGGAGGTGTGTGAGAGCGTGCTAGCTTAGTTGTTTATGGAAAGGGTGTCATAAGGGAATGCTACTGAAGACACTTCAATGGTCACCCCCAAATGCACATACAGTAACCAATATCAATGTGTGACTATTTTGCATAACTTATATGTTAAAATCGTTTAAAAAAATACATACATTGTTATTGCAGGAGAATGATACTTCAGATAAGTTGAAGGAACTGAAGATAACTGAAGATGTAGACGAAACAGTAATCGCCAAGAAAGTGGCACAGGAAGCTGATACCATTGTGGACACTGCAGTTGCAAGTTAATTAGAGTTGTCCCTCCTTTGCAATACTCTTCTGTGAGTGAGGTGTTTGGTATCAGGGCAGCTGGGACCAAGAGAGCAGGCGCTTTTACAGTATTCTGCAGCACTGATAGTCTGGGCATATCTCATGATCTTGTCTATTAGAGGACTGGAACAGGACAATGATTTCAGATGAAATTCTTCAAAAGACATGCTGTCATAGATGAAAGTCTGTTAGATTGAATGATAAGAAAAACTTGCAAACCACTGATCAGCTGGTGACCGGTAATGTCACCACTAATTTATGACATGGACGTACAATTAAATTTCTCTATTAGAATAAGTGGGCATTAATGAAGTTTACACATTACTTGAGATTAAATGACAGCATGCATTATCTTAATAACATCAGAAATTGACATTGCTCACCTTTACCAATACAGCTTTAAGTAGGATGGTGTGGTATGCATTATCTTCGTATGTTTCTTGGATCTGAATGGAATTATCTGTAAAATAAAGATAAAAACAGCCAGATGTAAGATATTTCATATCCATACACTCATTTAACCAACCTTAAATTATTACTTGAATGTTTATTAAGATCTTCTTGTTTCGTTACTATGGTGATAAGCAGTACTGTTGCTGTGTTATAAATATATATCCGTCAGTAGTCAGGGATGTAGACAGCTTCCGTTTTCATATGTGTTTTTGTAAGGTTTTTGTAAGTATTCCAAATTGATCACAAATAATTGTAACTTATGCAAATTTTTATTTTATACAATTTTTTTCAAGCTTCTTTGATTATTGCTCTCTGTATTTTATGTATTTGTATGTGAAATAGTGCAATTCAAGTCAATGATAATCCTGTGAAATCTTGAGTCCAGGATTAGGCAGCACAAGCAATGCCCCATTGCATGGTTCAAACAGAAAAATAAATGCTATTTAGAATATTTGTTTTAGTATATATTATTTGGGTAATTATGTTTAATAACTGGCTTCTTTATTTTACAAAACAGTTTTGAGATTTCCCCTGTATGTCCAGCAATGCATTTCCAATTAAAACGAAAACATGAAACCGAAGTTTCCTGAAGTTGGAGATTTTCATGAAAGTGATGCTAGATACAGTTCAAAGAGTGAAACTATTCTGTTATATTCATGTGTTTTTAAATATTACTTCCAAAATCGTTTTCATAAGACATAGTAACTAAACAGTGTGTTATATGTGTTTGTGTAGAAGTTTGTACAGTTTTAGATAAAATGTGATAGTTTATATAGAATATTGAATTCTGTGCTAATAAGTATATGTTAAAAGCAATATTCTTACTTTATCAAAAACAAATTTAAGAATATTAACTAACAATAGATCTCTACATGTTTTAAATGAAAAAGTTTTGCTGTTACAAGTCACTCGTTGTCCATGACTTGTGACAATACATCTATACCTGACTTTTGGACTTGATTCATACAAGGTACATATTTAAAAAACAGTTTTGTTCTTTTTCAGTTGATGCAAAACTACAAAAGTTTGAAGTGAATTTAAAATCGATTTTTAAAATTAAAAAGAAAGATTTGTATAATTGGGATAAATAAAAGTATGTGTAAAGAGCGTAATTTCATAATACAGTTTAGTGAGCTAAAACTTATTCATTTATATGTGGTATAAAATTGTAAATAGTATAAATTACTAACAGTAGACTTAATGAACTCTGGTTTAGGTAAGATCAATCTCTATGTGTTCAGATAGTTATGGAAGGGCTAAAATGGTTGTGATGTTTTGATGTCTGAACTGAGATGTGGATATTTTAGGCATAATACTGTTTGATGGTAGTCAATTAGCACAAAATATTGTCAAAGAATGTAATTAATGAAGAAACATTTTACTTAAGTCGTTGTGATTGGCAGGTTTTTCTCAGGGACGGCGGTAACTGAGCTCCGTTGTCCATATTACTATAGAACGGTTGTATTTGTATGATCTCTGGATGTGTTCCTCTTATTGTGAACTTTTTTTTTAATCCAAAGCTTAAGTGATTTCAACACTGTAGACTCTGAAGTTTTCATGTAGGAGTCTAAAATATATCTATAAAAGGAATAATGTTGTAAAATTTTATCTCAGAAACATCAAACGATCAAAATCAGATTTCAGATACTGATAACCATCAGAGAGAGAAAAATATTGAAGTTGGAATGGGTTGTTATAGAGAAATCATGGGCTAACTCTATACCAGTACTATAACAGAAGTTTGGTCGTTTGAACAAGACATGAAAAGTTCAGTTTCTACAGTAAAATACCATTTATTTGCCTTATCAATTGTTAAATGCAATTTTACACATTATGCTTGTGCCTCGCTGTTCGTGTCCCGTTTTAGGATGGAGATATGCTTGTTAAAGTTGTGTTATAATACCTCTGTTTTGAGGGTTTAAGGAATAGGGTTTATTTTTCTCACTAGTGTATACATGTTATAGTATTACCAGAATAGCAGATTTTGATAATGTTTCAATCACTTTGGAGGACGATTGCTTATAAGGCTTTGATTTAAGTGTGAATATTATAAAACTTCAAACATTGTGTATGATTGAAAATCATTCTAGAAGCAAACCAGAATATTTTCAAAAATCAAATCTTCATTTTTATAGCTTAGAAAAGTCTAAACCGTTGAATAGATTATTTGATAAAACTGCTGCAGATGACTGAGTTCTAGCAGATGTGGGTTACACCAACTCCATTTCATAGTAAAACCATAATTATATGATCAGACAACATAGAGTCTTGTCGATGCCAGTGTAACTAACTGCCATCTTGTATCATTACTGTGCTTGCTATCAGTCTTGTATTGTTTGGTAACATGGTAAGTGTCTGTGCATTTGATTAAAATCACTCATACTGGTTGTAAATGAATTGTGTATAATTCTTGTAATGTATAATGGCATTATTTTGATTACAACCATCAAGATGAAAGCCGAATAAAATATTCCACCATAACACAAAACTCTTTGTTTCTATAGTCAAACATCAACGAAAATTGTCTTGATTAATCAAGTTTATGATCATTGTACAACAATTGTGAAACATGTTTTCCAGTTTATATTAATCACTCTTGTTGGGCCGGCTGGAAGCCCACGAGTGGTCTTGCTGTGGGAGGGAATTGGGAATACTAGGTTAAAATCCTTGTGGTCGAGCAGGTGACCCTGTACATTTTCGCGTCCATGCAGGGAATCGAACCCGGACGGTTAGGTGAAAGGGAATGGTGTTGCCACGGCCCCACCCGTTCAAGTTGCCAAAAAAGTTCAAGAGTTTTGACATCTATATGTTCAATTAAGATTTATTATGAAATGATTGTAGCAGGACGTGATTTAGTATAAATTATCTGTACAGTATGTTTGATGGCTTTGAAAGTAGTAATTGTGTAATGAGAGAAGTTTGCGGTCTTTACCAACCCTTATATACATCTGCTCCATAGTGACAGTAACTTAATTACTTCAAATCATCTGTGATTCATTATATAACATAACTGGTTACATGATGCTATAGATAAAAGTAAGACTTTATTTGAACATGTTGACATTGAAATTCGATCTTGTTCTTTGGCGTTTAATTCTGGTCAACTTTGTTTCGTAAGATTTATAACAAAACATTCACAATAAGTAAATTTTACTTAATGTCGACACATTATTTCATGTAAACCAAGTTTGATAGTCACATTTTTACCATGTGACCTTAACTTGTAGGTAGTCAACTTACCATTCGATGTTATAGCAAAATATTCATAAATAAACTTTTCAAACTTTGACCTTGACATTTGGCCTGGTGACTTTGACATGTAGCTGGGAACCTTCTCATTTGATTTCGGTCATATTGCTTCAAAATGGAAACAAAGAATGCCTACATCGTAATATGCGGTATGTTCTTGACAGCGTAGTCCCAGTTCTGTTTATAATGATAGTAACATTGCACTTTGAGCTGTGAAATTGAAAAGCAAACACTTTCAGTGAAGAAATGTAAAACGTGAGTGTAATCGGCCAAAACAGAACTGGAGATATTCAGAACGTGATTTTCTATTTGTAATATTGGTGACCTTTACCTTTGACTGCAAACACTCGAATGATAATTGAAATCACAAATAACATATTATTATATGATGTGTTTTTAGCAGCATATTCACAATTTCATCTACAATAAAAGTGACCTTGACCTTTGACACCCAACACTGCTAAGCAATCCCAAGAAAGCATTTTCTTCGTGCAAGAACTATGGGCTTGTAATAGGAGAATATATTGATCCTGGAAAATCTGAATCATTATTGAGTTACGCGCTGCATATTTACTTTGAATTATTTGATGACAAAACAATCAGGCGTGGCAGTCATAATGGGCAGCTGAGCTAATTCAAACTGGCATCATTGAATAGTTAGGTAAAAAGTAATAAATAGAATTCTAATGCACTCTGTATTTTCTGAAAATTGGAAGTTATATTTCATTTCGTTGGATGGAAATTTTCCTTTTTTCCATTAGTGCAACGCAGCCGTTTAAAAATATCAGTGTCCACCACACTCGATAAAGTATCACTGTTATTCAACGAGAACAAAGAATATCATCGATATTCTTAGTAAATGATATACACAAAAACGACAATGATTGACACCACAGGGACTCGGCACTAATTCACAACCTACAGAACATATACATGTATAAATAGTATATAGTGACTATACGAGTATAATACAGATTTGTGGTCTATGGCTTGGGAATTATTGCCAAGTCTCTGTGATTGACACGAGTTGGAAAGATCAATACCACAACAAAAGTGGAAAACAGTGACGTGAGATGCCATTATTGGTCTTAATGTGTTATTATTTAGCAAATGAAAACAGAATTCACTATCTAAATAGTCGATAACTCCTACGTAAATAATCATAATGTGATAGCTAATCATTGAGCATAAGTACTACCAATATCAATTATGTTATCATATTCATCAAACATATTATGACTAACTTTGTCTGATCCACACTTCATACCATTATACACACTACCTTTATTGTATTGCTTCATAAATAATTGCAGTTATTGCGAATGAAAGTATTGATCAGAAATGTAGACAAAGTATCTAATTATGGTTAAAATTATGCAAAATGTTAAGTAAATATTGGTTATATTTGCACTTAGTGTTGTTTGTTCATTGCTAGTACAATCCGACCCAAACGCTTATTAAAAGTGATGTTTTCAGGTGACAGCCAAGCATTCAAATATTAGTGAGACTACCTGAATGTGTCACTTCCGAGGAGTAAACAGCCATGGATTTACAGGAGATGAATATGTTATTAATTCTGATTGTCACGGTTCTGTGCAGCAACGTTGCGAACGCAGCCACAATGAGATATACTAAATTATTACTACAAGATTTGTTTCAAAACTATTCCAAAGATATCCGACCTGTAGAGGACCAATCCAAAGCTGTCAATGTCAACATTGACCTGGATCTCGTCTCCATCAATGATTTCGATGAAGTCGCAGGGATAATATCGATGGTTGTCATCCTGTACATTTCTTGGCGTGATGAAAGTCTGGTATGGGATTCTACTTTATATGGGAACACAACATTTTTAACTCTTCCACAGAATAAGGTTTGGCTTCCCACGATGTTTTTATGTAACATAGCAGATTCATTTCTTCCTATTTCTAACAAGCATTTTAAAGTCGTCGTGACATCTGATGGGAATGTTACCTGGGCGCCTGGTAATTTACTGCAGGCAACTTGTTCACCAGATGTTTATAAATATCCATTTGATCAACAAACATGTGGGATGCATTTAAGCGCGTGGGGATATTCTTCCAGACTGTTGAAGCTGAACCTCCTCTCTCGAACTGTTCGATTCTCATATTTTACTCTCAACAGCGAGTGGGATGTGATTAAATCACGAACAGAACATTTGTCGCAATCATTTGACATGGCAGTTTATTATATAACTATAGAAAGGCGTCACTTGAATTTCTTAGTGAGTGTTGTGATACCAGTCATCATGTTGGCCCTTGTGAATCCGTTCGTTTTTATTTTACCATTTAACTCAGGAGAACGGGCGTCGTATAGCATCACCGTGTTACTGGCCTTCACTGTGTATATGACGGTGGTGAGTGACCGAATGCCTGCATCGTCACAGCCCATGTCTTATATTTCATATTACTTACTCTCATTGGTTGGAATCAGCGTGGTCATAGTAACGATGGATATATTTCAAATAAGGATGTACAACAAAAATGATGACGATGAACCGGTTTCTGGACTGTTGAGGAAAATGTATATGAGCATTCAAAACGTTTTCAGAGGCAAAAAGGTAAACGCCAACGACCAACCTTGCGAATCCGCCGATACCAGTAGCAAAACAAGCAATATGTCAGACAAAATGAGGACGCAATCTATGGAACTGGAATCACCTGAAAAGATAAATGACTTATTTTACACAAGTATATTACCTGTATCACAAATGGAAGAGAAACCTTCAGCAGACAATATACCCATAAGATCTCAAAACCAACCGGAAGTAGTCACCTGGCATATGGTAGCGAAGATGGTCGATACATTTTACTTCTTTCTGTTTTTATTCATCACTGTTGTTACCACCATATCATACTTCATCAATGTCAATGTAGGTTAAACAGTCTGAAATAAAAAAAAAAGAAGAACGTTAAGATTAACATGAAACGTTATCATTTCTAATGGAACTGGTCGGTACTCAGTTGTATATTTTCATATCAAATAGCGAAGGCATTTAGACAGTTTTAAGTTAAAGAATTGTTTCCTAAACAATAGTTATAATGATACAGACGGTAACTCGACATATTTTCTATAATAATTATGATCGAAATGTCAAAGGAGGAAGAAGTAGGTCAAGAGAATATAGCGGAATTATGGAAGTTTGTAACGTTTAGAGCAAGGTAAATATCTTTAATTATCACGATTTGATAAGTTTACATTGAAAAGCATGCTCATCAATGAATGGTGATTCCTTTTTTTAACTTGTTACGTTGAATTGTAAATTGCAATGCTAAATTATAAGAATTGTACAGAAAAAATATTGTGGTAGTTTACTTTGTATTCGGCACAACTTAAAGTTTCATTCTCCACTGTTTTACAAATGTTTACATACAGTGTACATATTAGCATTAAGTAAAGATACAATTGTTTTATCGCCCAATGCCATTGATCTTACGTTTCCAATGTATTAGAGTGAATGTCAGAGTAAGAAAGTCTCAACTGCTAACCATATTGACTAATATCAAATCTTAGCATATTTGCTTCATTAATGTAATGAAATACACTCCATTCTTGTTATAAGTTTGTCGAGTTAAAAATTCTATTCATATTACATTCCTTGATGTTATTTTCTGTCAAGATATTTTTAGTGTAACCTGTAAAATAATGCCTTTTATGTTAAAACAATAAAACTTATTGACTAATTGACTTTGTTTTGTCTTTCTTTGTCTTGTATCATAAAAAAGTTTTTTAGAAAAATACCAACCGCAACATAATCATTACTCAAACTCATTTCCATAACTCTAGGGCAAAATATGAACAAAAATAATGATTTATACGGAGACTCATGAAAAAATACAAGGAGAATAAGACCAGGTGTTCCGAAAGAGTAAGCGTCTTATGTCACGTTCTCAAATGAGAACAAGGTATACAACAACGTAATCCAACAGGCAAACAAACGAGCATTTTTTTCTGTGTACAGCAGTGCATGTAAAGTTGTGTTTTGAATCGCTTCTTGACTTGAATGGAAGCTCAAGTTGGGTCTTACCATTAGGGGAAATAGGAGAACCTGGAGAAAATTAACGTGCCTGGACAGGTGACCCCATGTTTGTTTTAATTGTAAGGCTTTGTTTTACACGCAGATAAACAACTCATACGAAAGTTGTTCGGTATATACTGTAGGGATGTCAACAAATGTCCGAATGCATTTACACCCATATGACGTTCCTTATATGGTGGAAAAATAACAATGGAAAATATCGACATGTTAACAGAATCTGAATCCAAACTAAAATTCAGTAAAATTATGACAAACTATGAACAAAACAAATATTAATACAGAAAAAGAACAAGAATAATACCAAACTGTTTGGGAAAAACGCGGTTTTCTTTTACTTCCTTACCGATACCCGCCATGCAGATTAACAACTAAAGAACTACAAAATACATACTTCCTAGCATCAGACAAGTCCAACTTCAAATCGTACCAGGAAATAAAACATTATGAAGCCTATAAGGTACCAAAGGAAAAAGATATCCATATGATTTGTTTATATATCGGAATAACCGCAAGATCTTTTAACTTGGCATGATAACCATAGTTTCGTGATGATATGAAGTAATTTCCATTCACAAATCTCTTGTGTTAAATCAGATCCATTTACCAAAGTTCTCAAATGTCATAGCCTACAAACTCAAACCTTAAGCGCGTTCATTAATGAGTCTTCCCTGGGAAAAAGTGACATCAAACAAGTAAAATATCACATTATGTGGCTTTCTGAATCTAGCAAGCACCCAAGGAAAGTTGGTCACGGTTCGACACTGTAGCCTGAAACTTTTGACATCGTAAATAAATCAGATATTCTTTGCGGGAATTAGCGTTGAAGGAATGAAATTTCGAGCATAACACTCATCGATTAACAGCTGAAAGTAAAATGATCTTTCTGATTTCATTCAATTGTCCATTGATTATATAGATCTTGGTTACTTAATTGATTAACTAATTAAGGCAAACGGTAATTAATCTCGTGCAGGCCGAATATTAGGTAAATATTGGTCTGAGCTTCCATTTAGGCGTGTTCCTCTTGTCGATCAATGTTGGTACACACAGATCCATCTGTTAGTGGGTCAAAGACGAGTCAGTAGATGAATTTCATCACTCAGTGAAAGTGACACAAGCAGAGGGAATTCCATCCACTACATCAAGTACGTGTTAGAGGAAAATGGATCTTTTCTTATTTATGCTTGTCGCAATTACAAGCGGCCGTGTTGTCGAAGCAACTACTATGGAGCTTACGAAATTGTTGTTGCAAGATTTGTTTCAAAACTATTCAAAGGATATTCGACCAGTAAAGGACCAATCCACAGCCATTTCTGTGAACATTGATGTTGATGTCGTCTCCATAAATGACTTTGACGAAGTATCAGGGACGATATCGATGGTCACCATTTTGTACATATCATGGAGAGACGAAAGTTTAGTATGGAATTCCACATCATACGGGAATACAACATCAGTAACGTTTCCACAGAACAAAATATGGCTGCCCAAAATGTTTTTATGTAATCCAGCAGATAAATTTCAACCCATTACTAACAAACATTTCATAGTCTCGGTAACCTCTGACGGACATGTATCATGGGCGCCCGGTGCATTGTTGACTGCAACATGTACACCGGATGTATTCAAATACCCATTCGATCAACAAACGTGCTCATTGCAATTGAATCCCTGGGGATATTCGAGTCAGCAGGTGAAGCTTAATATACCTTCTTCAACTATGTTGTTCAATTATTTTTCTGTCAATAGTGAATGGGATGTGTTAGCTTCATATACATCACGTTGGACGCAATCATTTGATATGGCGATTTACTATATAACCATCAAAAGGCGTCACTTGAATTTCTTGGTGAGTGTTGTGATACCAGTCATCATGTTGGCCCTTGTGAATCCGTTCGTTTTTATTTTACCATTTAACTCAGGAGAACGGGCGTCGTATAGCATCACCGTGTTACTGGCCTTCACTGTGTATATGACGGTGGTGAGTGACCGAATGCCTGCATCGTCACAGCCCATGTCTTATATTTCATATTACTTACTCTCATTGGTTGGAATCAGCGTCATCATCGTTACGATGAATATATTTCAGATGAGAACATACACCAAACACGATGACGATGAACCTGTTCCTGAATGGCTTAAGAAATTATACTTATTCTCTAAAAATAAATTAAGAGGCAAGAATGTAAATGTTAGTGTTAAACCGGTAGGAACTGAAATCAACTCAAATGGACCAGATAACAAGGACCTGAATTTTTCGAAAATGAATAATGACTTCTTTCAGACCAGCATCCTATCTGTATCGCAGGTCGACGAGAAACCTCCCGCTGACAACGAACCCACGGATTTCCATCATCAGTCGGAAAAAGTCACCTGGCACATGGTGGCGAAAGTGGTTGACAAGCTGTACTTTGTCCTCTTCTTAGTCATCACAGTTGTTGCCACCGTTTCGTATTTCATAATCGCACACTGAAACGGCCGACATTTGGAAATGAACATATTTTTCTTTCATCTCTGAGAATGGATGTATGCTTGAAAGTCAAAACTTTTACATTTTTCATTTACAGATTTTGTTGACAGTCAAGAAGAAAAATGAATTGATCTTGGTTTTGAAACAAATCCAATGTTTAATGTATTAAAATCCAATATCAATATACTAAAATCCAATATCAATATACTAAAATCCAATATCAGTGTACTAAAATTCATTATTATTTTCACTTAAATCTAATATTTAATATACTAAAATCCAATATCTTAAATTCATTATTATTTTCACTCAAATCTAATATTTTGTACTTATCTTAATTCATTATTATTTTCAATATTTAATGTACTAAAATCTTATATTTCATGTATTTCATGTAGTTCTTAAATCTAATATTTTATGTACTAAAATCTATGCATTAATTCAATATTTTTTATTTCATGATGTAATATTTAATGTACTAAAATCTTATATTCTATGCATTAATTCAATATTCTATGTTTTCAAATTCAATATTTAATGTACTAAAATCTTATATTTCATGTATTTCAGTTCAATATTTTATGTACTAAAATCTAATATTTTTTGCACTAAAACATATTATTTCATGTACTAAAATCTTATATTTTATGCATTTAAATTCAATATTTTGAGCACTAAAATCTAATATTTAATGTACTGAAATCTAATATTTAATGTACTAAAATCTAATACTTAGTATACTAAAATCCAATATCAGTGTACCAAAATTCAATATTAAATGTACTAAAATCTTATATTTAATGTGCTTATGAATCCATCGGTATTGAATGTCTTGTAGCATACAAGGACAACACTCTTTATTTATTCGTTTAAATAATACATAGACCGCTATTTGTTAAATGTCTAATCAGTGCGTAGCTGTATGAAGATGCAGAAATGAAAAATGGTTAAATAAGTTACATGTCTTCTAAAGAAATTTTCGGCTATAGCAGCATTCATATGTAACCAAAATGCTTCGGAACTATAGATTTATCTGTCATACAATGTTTGGCAGTGGTATCGAAGTACGGTGACATTATAAAAAAAATATTTGAGGTATTTGATTAATAATGCTGATATCATCTTACCCTTTCGTATTGCAGATATTTGTTATCAGAACAATTTCAGTCGAATATTTCTATTATTCATATTGTACCAATCTATGGTCTCCGTGCAACTATCACTGCTGTTCATATTGTGCCCTCTTGGCATTGATTTCAAGTTCGGATCCAGTTGTTTTTAATGATTTTAACAGAGAGAGGATACATGCATTATATGTAGTTCAAACATGATGGATACCAAATAGTTCCTGTGGATACTAAATACCTTAAAATGTTATGTTCAATCTGGCGCAATTACCCTAATGACAATGATGACAGTCATGTGCTCTTTGAGAAGTGAACAAAGTCATGCGGCTGGCTTAACTATACCGGACACAACCCGTGTAATAAGTTCTTTCACAATGTGTGGCGGTACTGTGGATTGTTATAAATTGTCTACAATGATCTGAATACGCCAGACGATTTGTTAAGAATAAGCATTTCCATTATTTATAGTTGTTATTATAATTTTACTTTGGTTAATGTTGGTTATCTTACATTTGCTTTCGAAATATGACTGGAGCCAAACGTGAGACATGTTTATAGTGTTTATTTATGAACCCGACATTGTCTGATAATTACCAAGTGAATTTATCTAAATACAGATATATACCATTCGAAAGAAAAATATCGAACTTCCAACTTCTATTGTCTGTATTTAATTCAGAAAGCGATTGGATATTCAGTTACTTTCTTGTGTTTACAGTTGTACCCACTTAATTGAGTGTCGTTCTAATTACGCTAAATGTATAGACCCATTGTCAATATTGATCACACACTTGAATATAGCCATTAATTATTCTTTATTAGATAACACTGTAGGATGGTTTTGATTAGGGATATGCTGGGTAACTATATTTTGTTTTGTTTCACCAGCACAACGGTTCTTATTGAGGCGGGGTCACAGGGTCATTCAAATTTATGTCAGAAATACAGCTAGTTGAATATGTTGGTAAAGGATTTGAATAAGACGGGTCTTTGTTATCACTACTTTTCGCGGTTTTTATGCGATAACGTTGTCGACACGAATACAATACAAATGTTGTTATAGAATTTGTTCCGAAATTACTCCGTTAAGACATTCGACCTTAAGAGGATCAATCCAAACCTGTCACTGTTGACATTCATCTGAAAGTTGTCTCCATCAACGATTTTGAAGGCGTAGCAGGAACCACATCTTTCCTGTTCTTGATCATATCTTGGAAAACGACAAGTGAAATACGTAACCAACTTTTCGACAGAACAAAATACGACTTCCAGAAGTTTTGATGTAAAACTTTAGATTAATTTTAACAGTTGGTTACAAACATTTTAAAGTCATTGTAAAATCAGATGACTACTTATCATGGCTAACCGGTGTTTTGCTGACAGCAGCACGTTCGCCAGATGTTTATAGATATCCGTCCAACAAACGTGCGAGCTTAAGACTAGGTACATTAAGGTTCATTAATAACCAGCTGAAATAAAGTTACCTTGCACTGCTGTGCATTTTACTAATTTTTCGACGAATAAATGGGATGTTTTAACTTCAATAACAGAACCTTGGTCGGAATCAATTGACATGTCGCTTTACTATCAAAAGACGTCACATGAATCTTCTGACAAGTGTTATGATATCATTTTTCCTGTCGTTTTCACTTTTCCATTTAACTCAGGAGAACGGGCGCCTATGATGGTGGTGAGTGACCGGATGTTTGTATAATCACAACCCTTCTCTAATTACTCTCGTTGGTTGGCATCAGCGTCGGCACAGTTGTATTGAATATATTTCAAATGAAAATCCACCACAAAAACGATAACGATAAACCGGTTCCTGTGTGGGCGAAGAAATTTTATTTTTACATTCATATAGCATCCTGTTGGAAACGAATGGTTAGCAACTTGAAAATTCAAAGAAAAGGAGACGATACAATCATATTATTTTGAATTTTCAAAAAGCAATAAAACATTCATGTCTCTTTTCTGTCGTGAAAGAGGAAGAGGATACTAAAATGATCACAATGGCTACCGATAAAACCAGATATGGGCTTTTGGTATACGATTTTGTTTTTGTTGAATGTTACATAACCAATGTATACCTTCATGACAAAACCTCTGCATGGCGGAGATCTTAATTATGGTAAGAAAATAGTGTTGTCCAGTTCAATATTTAATCATGTTCTCCGGATCAACATTCAATCATGTTCCCCAGATCAACATTAAATTATGTTCCCAAGATCAACATTAAATTATGTTCCCCAGATCAACATTAAATTATTTCCAAGATCAACATTAAATTATGTTCCCCAGATCAACATTAAATTATTTCCAAGATCAACATTAAATTATGTTCCCCAGATCAACATTCAATAATGTTCTCCAGTACATGTTCATGCATAGAAATAAGGATGATTACAAGTAATGATTTATGTAATAGAAAATATCGTTTGTAAACACTGACAATAATATGTTCACTTCTCTTGTTTCCTTCTTTAGCAACCCTATCAAAATCACTAAAAATATTTAAAATCTGAAAATTCATTCGCTTTTATTGTCTGTACGAGTTACTTCCCTTGTGGTTAGAACTTACAGGAACACATTTTTAATCGTGAATACCTCTCATAAGCAACATCAGTTGCTACATTTTTGTAATTCTTTGAGCACTGGTCAGCTTGACGTTTGTAGTAGACGTTATATTTACATTAAGCAAGGTCAATACATCTGATGATTCTCATCTTCGATACTCCAGAGGTTACCATCACTTTCCCTCTCTGAACCCCTGGAAAATGTCATGGCAAAATTCAAGGTTCCATGCGCGACACCTTGTGGATAGGACGAAAAGACTAGTTCGTTCTTTTGATGTACATCAAACGAATCTCAAAACGGTATATTATAATGGCTTTGAAAATGGCCGTCAATCCTTCGTAATCTTCAAAATGAGTATATAAAATCGTGATTGATAAGATTTTCTTCCTGGAACCAAGTAAATTACCACACTTGCCCCTTGACATGTTCCAGAGGTGCAGATAGCGAAATTGATTGAACCACTGGAGTACCGAGAATGGATGAGCCTATGAATCATTATTATCATTAACCTTGTATTTATGAACACTGAAAAAAATATAAATAAAGAAATGAAACATATGAAAGTTGTATATGTAATAATTTTGAAGATAATTTGCGAAATTTCCACCTCCCAAAAATTTTAGCTTTTCAATAGCTATCACGTTAATTGTTGAATGACGTGCTTTTGAAATCCAGTTATTTAATTTTACTGTAACTACTGTAAGCTAAATCACTTCTATATCTACAAATACCTGTGTTTTCCCCTCCTTCGATGACTCATTAGTTCAACCAGGGCCAGAGGTTTGGCAAGGTGCTAAAGAAAAAGCAAAATAAAGGGAAAATGTATGAATTTACACCATCAACCAAACATGTTTACATATAGATAGGGAGGTACACCATCAACCAAACATGTTTACATATAGATAGGGGGGTACACCATCAACCAAACATGTTTATATATAGATAGGGAGGTACACCATCAACCAAACATGTTTATATATAGATAGGCAGGTACACCATCAACCAAACATGTATATTATATATAGATGTTTACATATAGGGAGGTACACCATGTTTATATATCAACCAAACATACACCAACCAAACATGTTTATATATAGATAGGGAGGTACACCATCAACCAAACATGTTTATATATAGATAGGGAGGTACACCATCAACCAAACATGTTTATATATAGATAGGGAGGTACACCATCAACCAAACATGTTTATATATAGATAGGGAGGTACACCATCAACCAAACATGTTTATATATAGATAGGGAGGTACACCATCAACCAAACATGTTTATATTTATATATAGTTTATATATAGGGGGTACACCATCAACCAAACATGTTTATATACACCACACCATCAACCAAACATGTTTATATATATATAGATAGGGAGGTACACCATCAACCAAACATGTTTACATATAGATAGGGGGGTACACCATCAACCAAACATGTTTATATATAGATAGGGAGGTACACCATCAACCAAACATGCTAACATATAGATAGGGAGGTACACCATCAACCAAACATGTTTATATATAGATAGGGAGGTACACCATCAACCAAACATGTTTATATATAGATAGGGGGGTACACCATCAACCAAACATGTTTATATATAGATAGGGGGTACACCATCAACCAAACATGTTTATATATATATAGATCAACCAAACATGTTTATAGGGAGGTACACCATCAACCAAACATGTTTATATATAGATAGGGAGGTACACCATCAACCAAACATGTTTATATATAGATAGGGAGGTACAAACATGTTTATATACCATCAACCAAACAATATATAGATAGGGAGGTACACCATCAACCAAACATGTTTATATATAGATAGGGAGGTACACCATCAACCAAACATGTTTATATATAGATAGGGGGGTACACCATCAACCAAACATGTTTATATATAGATAGGGAGGTACACCATCAACCAAACATGTTTACATATAGATAGGGGGGTACACCATCAACCAAACATGTTTACATATAGATAGGGGGGTACACCATCAACCAAACATGTTTATATATAGATAGGGAGGTACACCATCAACCAAACATGTTTATATATAGATAGGGGGGTACACCATCAACCAAACATGTTTATATATAGATAGGGGAGGTACACCATCAACCAAACATGTTTATATATAGATAGGGGGGTACACCATCAACCAAACATGTTTATATATAGATAGGGGGGTACACCATCAACCAAACATGTTTATATATAGATAGGGAGGTACACCATCAACCAAACATGTTTATATATAGATAGGGAGGTACACCATCAACCAAACATTTACAACCATCAACCAAACATGTTTATATATAGATAGTACACCATAACATGTTAGGGAGAAATTATCAACCAAACATGTTTATATATAGATAGGGGTACACCATCAACCAAACATGTTTATATATAGAAGTGATTGTTTATATGCTGAGATCAACCAAACATGTTTATATATAGAGAGTTTTATCAACGAAACATGTTTACAAAAGTGTCTCCAATAACTTTCTATCGACCTCAGTACAGCTCATAGTAAAGATTATGTTCTAAATATTGAACCTGTGTGGCTGCCGAGAGGTCTATGGACGACTTTACAACTATCTAACTGATCAGGAAGTCCTACACGGACCGATGGGAAACAACATAAGAAAAGACATTTACACAAGTAATTGATTCATATTTAAATTATGTCAAAGGAAGTCTTACATTGACATCTTACCAGTCAGAGAGTGCAACATTTAGAATAGACTCAAAAACACATTTACTATACATTGTATGGTGCGTTGATGGCTACACAATCCAACAGATAACAGTTTCTTTGAGATTTTCTAAATGTAAAGACGAATGCTTGTTTCTGACGTTAAATAATCTAGCACCATATCAGATTAGCAAATCACGTACGTGTTATTTTATGGGAAAATATTGTTTTTCAAAATTAGTTGATTTGTTTGCAGAGGTGTTTTACCTAGATTTTTATGTGAAGTATCATCTGCCAATACTTTATTAAAATTTTTATGAGTAAGAATAGCTTGCTGTACTGTCAGTAACTCTGAGAGTTAATGGCGTATACACAGTGTTCTTAGTTATTCTTAACAAATACTCGAGTGTTCAACTTTATTGGGAAATCTCATCTTTTTATGCGGTAGAAATATGTAAATATATGAAATTTAACATAAAAAATTTATCTTTGAAAAGTTTTTCATTTTTTTTTCAGTATGGTCAAACAAGAGACATTTAGTTGAACTTAGCTGATAGATTTGAATAAATACATCCAATGCATTGATTGAGTTGATTTATTTATCGATATTGTAGAAACACACGTACATGGACTTTAGATCCAAGTCTAACAATGGCTACTTATCACGGTTTATGTAGATATTAAGATATTGCATCAGAAGAAAGTAACTGAGTAGGTTTGACATGCATCTTGATGTTAATTAAAGTTATCTAATATCGAATTTTCATTAAAAATATCAAGTTGAATGCATCTCATATTCCACCCTTTGTCACGAGATGGAGGAAATCTATACAAAATATTTTACTATAATCTTTCCAATGAAACTTGTTTAAATGCAAAAGAAGAACAAAATATATAAAACCAAGAACTACCATATCATTCAGTTTACTAATAGGCCTTATTGTGATAAAGATTCCCTATAAATATCATCTAGCATTGAAGTTCAGGACTGTCGGCTGCCAGGCAAGAATAAGCGATAGACAAACAGGAAGTACGGATATCGATATCATTTTTTTTTTAATAAAATGGTGGAAAAGGTATATCTATTTCCCTCCTTCAAGTCTAAAGATTTCCACATTCAAATATAGAGTATCTGTTGAGTAGGTCTAACGGAATTATTGTAATGTAGGACTACCTGATAGACACCTGAATGGTGTCGATGAACTACATAGGCCTAGTTAGTCTACCACTGGCACTGGCCTTTCGCCAGCTACGCGAGTTCAATAATTAGAACATAAACAAAACATCTTTACTACAGCTTACACTCAGCTCGTTAGCATACTTTGATGAGGACACATTTGAACAGCGAATATATAACAGCGTTTTGTGGATTTTCAAGTTTAAGACGGTCATATGTCTCAAATGTAACACAGACTATGGATAAATAAGCTTTTCAAACCACGTATGTATTCATTTATCCTAAAATATCGGTAAATTGATTGGTTTGTGTATATTCTATATGTCTGAATGATTTGAGTTCCTCAGATCTACTCGAATCCGTTTATTTTTATTTTATTTTAATTTTTGTGAAGCTGCTGCAACACAATAGCAAATGAGTGTAATACTTCCTTGTAACCTCTCTCATGACGTCAACGAGATTTAGATTATTAAACATCGAAAACAATTCCATTGCATCGATGAGAAGTATATACGAAGGATGAAAAGCTTAAAAGACAAATACAAGTAGAAGATAACTTTAACATCTACCCCAGATACTCACTTAGATGTCTTAACTAAAGTTATATCGTCAATACATCAGGTTGAAAATACAGATATTGTGAATATGCTTTACTAAGGAAATTCACCTAAGACTTTTATGACATGTTCAGAGTAATTGGCCAGCAAAGATAATTGGTAAAATTTTAGTGCCTGATATATACAATAACTCTTGTCTGTAGTTCGGGTTTGATACACGTAAGATTGCAGACGTCAGTTCGAATAAGTGTTTTATAAACATACTAACATATAATGTTTTCGATTCATTAATATTAAACACTACTATGATAGAAAACATATACACATTTGTATTAAATAGAGTTCTTTTATATCATAAAATATAATCAGCAATAAACTGTAGCTCTTGTTATATTCATTTCATGTCGAATATAAATCCATTAAACTGACCGAAATTTACATGGCAAGTGTCGACGGTGATGTAGAGGACGGTTACTCTTCCGGAACACTTGGTACAAAATATAACTATCTCTGTACTTTTTCGAAGGCCTCCGTGAAATTAATTTTAGAATGCCAACATTCCATCGAATTGAGCTTGAATGAAGATTATGTAGACATACTGGTATTTTATTTCTGTCTTTTTTGACAGCACATGTCAAGTCGAGATAATTTTATAATGGCTTGTTGGTGAAATAAATCCTTAACGACGTCAGATTTTGTTATATTTGTAGAATAGTATCGCTTGTTAAATATTTCAGGACAGGAAGATGTCTTCAAATTCTGTGCAACCAATTATATTCCTGTCTCATGGAGCCGGACCTTCTTTTTATATAGACGCCTCACAGGCGCCGATGTTGAAAGGTTTAGACAGAGATTCCAAGGCTGCAAGAGTTCTGAAAAACTTCGCGTCAGACCATCAGATCAAAACTCCCAGGGCTCTGGTTGTTCTGAGTGCACATTGGAAAGAGGACACTTGCACTATCAACACTAAGGACAAGCACTCGTTATTATACGACTACGGGGGGTTTCCTCCTGAGACATACAAACTTCAGTGGCCGGTGGTCGGGGATCTGGATATATCAAGGAGGACCAAAGAACTATTAGAGGCAAAAGGGATCGCATGCAGAGAGGAGACTCAACGAGGACTGGATCATGGGGTATTTGTCCCTTTGAAACTTGTATTCCCTGAAGCAAATGTACCAGGTATGATATTTTATAAATATTCATAGAAATAGATTCTATTTCTATACATAGAACGTAATATAAAATCCCATGTGGTAGATTCTAACTAATAACAAATGCTTTCATTTGAATTCTTTTCATAGTTTATGAAATTCTTTATTTAGTGTGTTTACCATATACCATTTTAATCCCCGATCATCTTTACATGTGTTTCGTTGAAGCAAACGAAGAGGATAAGATTTGTTTTTGATTCTATTTCATGTATAAAATCCTTTGGGAAGAAAATCGTTAGAGTTTTACTTTTCTGTCTATATAGTATTACAGCATTTTAAGATGTGCCCTTTTCTTTCAGTGTATATATAGTAATCATACATTGAACTAAGAAGAATTACACAAAATTGAAAGATATAAAGCATGATGATGTTAAAACAAGGGAGAACACTCTTGAGAGCAATGAAATATTTGTAAGGGAGATAAATCTTTCACAATTTTGCTTATATAATATGTTCAATCAGAATACATTTTTTTTTCTTTTTTTTTTCTACATTGAAACAAATAGAACAGATAACTATCAACAATATAAACAATAATAAAAATTGAACAATATTGTGCAAATGATAACTATGATGAAGGAAGACCATAATATTACATTTAACCTTTGACATTTTCTTTTTATTAGTCGTTCAAGTGTCACTCCTTAAGGGCTTGGACATGAATGAGCACCTGAAGATTGGCGAGGCACTTTCAGAACTGAGTAAAGAAAATGTAATGGTTGTAGGCAGTGGGTTCACTACACATGGAGGCATATCTCCGGCAGGTTTAGAGTGGGCAGAACCGTTCAAAAAATGGATACATGATGTGTTGTCAAACTCGAAGTACAGCGCTGCCGAGAGGAAACAAAAGTTTCTGGAGTACAAGAAAGTGAAGACATTTTCAAAGGCCCATCCTACCGCTAAGCATTTCATTCCCATAGTGATATGCTGTGCTGCAAGCGGATATCAAGCAGCCGACATTCTTTTCTCTGAGTTTTCAATAGGTTGTCTTTTAAATGACCATTACAGGTTTCCAGCTAAACAGTGATAACATCTGTATTCTCATTTAATGATTACATTAAAACAAACGTTATTCATCTCCAGCTTCATCTTTAAAGCACGACGCCACTTAAACGACTTTATTAATAGTATGCTTATTTGTTGATATTGTGACTAGGGCGTATTGTTATTTGCAAAAAAGATGTTGGTTTCCTTCCGAAAGACTCATTTCTTCCAAGAACATTGGTTAATGTCTTAATTAAAAATGTTTATATATCCACTCAAATATATTTGTCCCGAACTGATGAATCTCATCCTGGGAAAAAATGAAAAAAAAAAAAAAGATATTGATAAATATTACTTCATAAAGCCAGATGCAACAAAAGTTTAGGACAACACGTTCAACTGAAATGAATTTCAGCGCAATGTAATATGATATAAACTATGATATAGAAATCACTGAGCTAAAACCTTTCTTAATGTGCAATTTTAGTATAGATTTTGATCATATACAAAAACCTTGTTAGTATGCAAATCAAAATCTTGCCGTCTCTGCAATTGGATTAGGAGTGTGTGTTTTTGTATGTAAGATAAACGTTATATTGTTGGCAATATTGATCCAATCGAGTGTACATAATCAATGAAGTACTCGTGAGAGTTTTAAAAACAATATCTATAGACCGTAGTATGTAAATAAAGTCTTAGGGTAAGCGAAGCAGGTTAGCAGCTCTTATGAGTTAGCGGCAAGTGCAACGTGCCGTTTGAATTACTATATACAAAGTGGTATAATCTTTATTGCGCACGTTCGACAGGAATGGAGCCCTTCGACAACACTGGACGACAAAAAATTCCACCTTTTGAAGGATACTCTAAAATATTATTTTGTCTCCTGGCGTATCTCAGATTAAACAAAAAAGCCTGATTCTGACTTGGTAAACATGGCTTGTTTTGTGATAAAAAGATTTTGATGTTTCTTACTATCACACAAAATGTAGATACCACAATGGATAAGAAAGGTAAACAACACACCTATTCGTATATACGATAATCTTATTGTAGGTCAGAGAAAATGATCAGGTGAGTTTTAAAAACATCCTGTAGTATCTGTTATCCATGCGGTGATTACCAAAAAAGTTTCTTTTAAAGACTTCCTTCCAGAAACGGAAATCTAGCTTTAAATAAATGACAAATTTTACAAATACCAAATGGTATTACAATTATGAATACGATGCTAGTACATAAAATCTAAGTTGAAAAGTTCCAAATGTTGTTCATTTTCATGAAATCTTCATGTTGAACATTACATGTTGACTCGATGTCAAAAACTTCACATGGATATATGACTGTTTTATAATTATGATATGTGAACAATTATTATTTTCCGAAAATGTATCAGAAAAGGGAGAGAAACTACCCAGGTTTATTGCATAATATCCTAAAATCCTGGGACAACAACACAAGCATCATGCATTATTAGATAGTGTGTAGTTGTAATATTCTTATTACCTAAATTTCCTGTTCTACACTGTTGTTATAGGGGGAAATGTTGATACACATTTCATGTTTAATCCAACATGTTTCACACAGATTCCACGTCTCTTAATAAAGCTTTAGCTAGAACAATTTCGTGTTTAATTAATGTATAGGGTGTTCGTCGTAGCAATCAATCCGCGAAAATTTAAAGTCAGAAACTTCATAAGTTGAAAATGATACATTGCGGAGTTCTTATCGTCTAAAATATAGAAATAAAATCTTCTCGAATGTGTCTGAGTTGGTGAACGTTGGTAAGTTACAGCAAATTTTAATCGTTTCACGTGTAAATTGTCTGTGTGTATCGAAGACATTATATCTCAAAAAGCATTTGGATAGTGTTGTTGTTTTCTTCACTAGAAACACATTTACTGTGTGCGTACAAAACAACAAGAATGACTTTGATATACTGTCTGATTATGTGACATGCAAGGTTGATTAACACCAATACCTTTCTAGCTGTTGTTTACAGCTTGTAAGATAGTTAGAATGTTTTATTAAAAATGTTGATCATTGATCAAAATTTCATCCGAACGTGTTAAACTAACCCAGTACCTTACTGTTCGAAGTACACAGTACAAATACAGTAGGGGATTGCTCTGACCTAAAACATATTAAACTTTGTGTATGAAAACTCATTTTTCTACACTCGCGAGATATCAATACCTTACGTCTTTCCACAAATGTGTAAGAAGGCCCTTAGGCAACATCTGATCCTTTTATATATACTGCAATACCAAGTAATATTGTATAGATATAGGTAGTGATTAAGAAATTAAGATGATTACATATCATATCTATTTAACTAAAGTCAAAATCTAACGCCTAGGGTTAAAATAGCTAGGTCAATAACTTTTCGGTCGTTCGCGTTACTGAATAATTGAGAAACTTGTCAAAACGACTAAAACGTTGCCATTATGTAGTTAAATTGGTTTGTATCGGTCAAGTATAAACATTCCGAACGAGTTAATTTACAATAATATAAAACGTAGTCAATGACGTCATTGATTATATATATATCTCCTGTCTGACTTTCAAAATTACAACGAACGAATATTTTTTTTATTGAAGTACGAAAATTATTTCAAAAGAAAGTTAGGTGATATATTAGAATTTATGTCATTACATTTCATGGAATGTTATCTACAAATTCCAGCGGAAGATGCTACAGTATGGAATAACGAGGAATGAAACAGCATCCAAATTCTCATGATTTTGTATTAAATGAGATTGAAGTTGAAAATCAGACATAACAAGAATGAGTTTGAGATTATACAAAAAAGTTATTGATTAATCGTTTTGTGAGCTATGAACTTATATCTTTCTTTTTATCAAATTCGTTTACGGTCTGGTTGATACTTACTTCGATGGTAATTTTCACATTCACAGTCTGTTCATGGTTTGTGCAATATCAAAAATCTTGTAACTAAACTTAGATGCTTTACAACGTATGATTAAAAGTACAGAAAACAGTTTTATGTGCCTGGGAAATAGGAACTAAACCCTATATGCTGTATAATTTAACGTTAAAACCAGCCGTTGTATTAAATCCATTTAATTGTTTGGGCAAAGTATTAAGTGTTCGTCCATATTTTCTTAATAGTTCGATGAATGTTTATGTTTAAAATTGTTAAATTGCATGAGATATGGGATGTACTCCTTGACTGACAAGAATTACGGTTTAGTCGTTACCTTATCGGAATAATTAATCGGCATGAATTTTAATATATAAAGTAACTCTTTAATCGAATACTAAATTAGCTCTATGATCAACAAAATAGTTATTGGTTTATCATTGAATTGATATATCACGATTTCTTACTTTGTTTACAATCATTGGAGGTGTGTTGTTGGCGTTAACATGCCACCTTAATTTACAATGAATGGTTATGAATTAACAAGGTAAACACTATAGTTAATTATGCATATACTGTAGTCAATAACACGTTAATTTGTAGTTATGATCGACGAAAATAACTATAGGTACTGATAATATTCGAAGGTTTAGGTAAGCTATGACAAGATAAGAGAAAGTCATTAAGTATGATAAGCAAATATCGAAATAAATTATAGTTGTGGTGAGATTTATTTAATAAGAAATTGATAATTGAATGTAATCGGGTAGACATTGGCGATAACTTGTAAATGGCATGTTCACTGAACCCGGTTGCATAGATCATAAAAGCTTGTGTCCAATTGATGAACACAGAGTTATATGTATGCGTCGTCAAAAAAGGCGTACATCCTTCCGGAACATACGATCTTTCCTTCGTTCATATATATATCTCGATCTCGATTTTCAAGTGGTCTGTCCGATACCAGCTGGTAACAGTGGCTAGATATTATTTAACACTAACTGTTATATGTGGGTGAATATGGGCAAATCTAGATGGGGTTATGGGAATTGTAGTAATATTAACAAGGGGAGACAACAAGAGTAATAAGTAACAGTAATAAAAGTAATTCCATTACATTTTAAAATAAACACATCTCATAAAAATTCTACCTAATGGGCATTCCTCTGAAAGACTGTGTTCAAATGTGTTTGTAGTAAACACGCGGTCCTTATGGAAATTTATCTTCAATCAGACACGCACAATTTACGTCAACATGTCGAAAACACATTTATGGCATATCAGATTAAACCTATACAAGGATGTGTATATTTAACACGTCGATATATAAATCACTGAAAAACCTTAATGTTCTTGGATTTGTATGTGTTTATTCTAATGTGTTAAAATCTAAAATCTAATCTGTATTTCTTAAAATCTTCCCTCTTCTTGTTGTAAGAAGCAACAACGTATTTAAACGACGAGCAAACATTGTATCTCATGTATGCGAATTAAAAAAAAGTATCCCTGTTGTTACTTATAAAAACAGACCTGTGTAGGATAGCGGACTTCTCAAGAAATCTTACAGACACTGTCATTTACACCAACAACAACCTAAAACTTTACGTTAGTTATTAATGCTACACAGTGTAATGTTTATGTTTATGTTGACACTCTCAGGAAGTAAAACAACAGTGTGCAGAATAATCAGAGAATACTTTCATTGTACTCTTATAGGAGTCTCGTGGTTTTTTTTTTCATTTTGCCCTAGTTTTATTAAAGTTTAGTTTTGATAATGATTCTGTTGACATGTTGGTATTATCCGCAGTAAAGCTTTTACATTCTTTTACTGATCAGGTCCTTAACCAATGGTCAAGTGTATAACAGAGAAAAATATATTGTCCATTCCATGACCCTTGTGAAAAAAATATACACGTATTTGATTTGATTTAAGGCTTCCGTATTTTACAGTAAAATACAATGTACATGCACCTGTAAGACTCAGTGTTTTTGTTGTTGTAATTTATGCAAATATTTAATTATTTATGACATCAATGATTATATCAAGCTACAACCACATCCTGGTTACTGTATAGTGCGTATTCATAAGACACGTTTTCTCAACTTATCAAAAGCATTCATGTATTTGTTACAAAATATACGAATGTACTTTAATCATGCTGAAAAAATATGGCATACTAGCATGTTCCATATACACGACTGCATTGATTGCAGTCTTGGAAGGTGTGGTTAATTCTCAACTCTATTGCAGGCACAACATGGACAAAATACATGGTATCTTAAAGAGATTTCGTTTCGTATAAGTGTATAAGTCTTAGAAGTATTTTACTGTAAACTTCTAGGCGAGTTCCATAAAATCTTCTATGAAAAAATAAACTAATTCAAGATACATTTTTATCACATAGCTTAGAAAAGTTACACATGTAAAGGTGTTAAATTCATAAGGTGTGGACAAAATAAAACGGCGGCAGACATTTTGTCGCGTCATTTTTTGCCCACGCGATGACATCACAATCGATTTCCAAGTGGCTGTAGCAGCCAATGAAACTTTTCCATTGTATACACCACTAATTGCATATACAAACATATTACATGGAATTCACTGAATAACAGACCGATCATGTGACTAAAATTGTCGATAATAAATCTGAAGGGACGCGTGGGCGAAAGCGGTTCTTTGTTGTGACGATTTGTGTCTTGTCCTCTCTGAACAAACACAAAATGTTTAAATAGAATTTCAACATAAAGATATCATTAATGTTCATTTTAATGTTATTTTTTTATTGTTTGTATATTATTATGTTTTATGTGATAGTTTACTACTGAATACATTCCAAAGCGTGATTTGCTTCTAAGTTAACGCAAGTGCTTTCACACAATTAAAGTCGCGACAACGAATTAACAGCATGTTTTAACTTCAGTTTCTTCTACAATACTTCGTCTCGATGATTAAACATCACATCTACCATGTATATATTATAGAACTAATCCTTAGTCCTGGTCGCATGTATACACACACGCTTATGTGATATATAGAAATGTTGGATTTTATGTACTGAAGTCTTTAGCAATAGTCAACAGCTAGTGTTTACTGAGGCAAGACCATTACACTCTAATAATTACCAACTAAAATGACGCCATGGTTGAGTGCTCTCCCGACCCTAGGAGGCCGTAGAAAACATATACAATTTACGTACACACGAAATGACAGAGATGAGGTGTAAGTCAACTACGAAGCAGACGACACGGTTTGTGTAGCAGGCGGAGCAAATTGTTATTTGACAATCACTGGACTAGGGAAGAAAACGTGAGAGACCAACCTTTCTATTCCAAATCCAGGTAACGGATTTTCCTATATCCTGTTATGTTTTATAAATGTAGGGTAGGTATCTAGCTCATCCTCAGTTTTGAAATAGTGGTGTAATCAATGTCTTTTCAACGAATAAATGTTGTTATTGTTCTCAAGCTGGTATATCATACTCCTTAATTATACAGAACTATATTAGTGTGTAAATAAAAAAGCACTATGTGAAAGCCATGGCTTTATAACTTATAATTTTCTAATTTTGTGTAATATTTAAGCTTGAGTAAAAAGGAGCTTAAATCATTGGTTTGAAACCATATCCCTTTAATATGTCAATGGCTGGGTTGTCAAATCGAAGGATAGAATCGTGTTTTTATTGTAAACACATGTCTAAAAAAACAATGGACGACTTAACCTAAATGTTAGCCAAAGCCTTACAGATATTTGTTTAGGACTGTGATCTAGGCATAAGTTAACAATTTTTAATGATTATCGAGATGCAATGTCCTTACGCAATTTGTATATATATGGTATTTGACACTACAAAGTATAAGAGCTAATATGTCAGAAAGCTGTTATGATGTTGTTTAATTCACCAGTTAGCTCTACTATAATCATTTTGTAATCTTTTGTAAATCTCGGTATAGTAGTAGACATGTTAACATCTAAATTAACATATTTATTCTTGTTTTTATAAACAGGAAAACATATGTGACACACGCTGTCTTTAAGCCGACTCGAGGGCTAAAGTACTGACATTCCTGTACCTTTAACACTTCATAAAAACCTCAGCATTTCTAAAAGGTAGAGTATAACTGAACACATATTACCCTGGCTCACCCCTTCTTATACAAAGGGTGGCGTATACATACGGCTATCTGACAGCGAATTTAAAGTGCTAAGTTTCTACAAAGACATAAAAAGACATGCTTGTTCACTTAATGTTTTATATAGGTACTTACATAATATCTTTTACTGATTTTAAGAGAGACATTAGAACGGGCTAGGCCACTTTCACCTCTTCACCTTCTGATATTTTGTTGGCAGTCATGACCTTAACGCCTGTTGTTTGTGTTCAGTATCGACAGTTGATTCTATTCCTTTTAGTATCCAATTCAACATTTAATTGTTTTGTTTTGCACCTTCAAGACCTTATACCATAACAAGAAAGGCACTTGCGTCAGAGTTTTAGACAGGTATGCACCATCATCAGCAGTTTAAGTATAGAAAGAAAGTCAACATTATATATTTCATGTAGAATCATTTGTCGAGATGAGTATTACCTTTCTAAATATGAAATATTGTTGTCATACATTCTTTACTCGACAAAATACCTTGAATATTTCTCATACTTCATGGTGATGTGATTGTATAAATTCTTGTTTTCATGTTTAAATAAAATCCCAATTTCTGCTTGGAAACATGAGAATACATGTCAAGCGAAATATGTGTCAACTATATTACAACATATGCTAATAGTGTTGTACTATTTGTATGTTGAGGATGTTATATTAACAGGTGACATGTATCTCTTGTCATACTTACAAATATGTGATAAGGGACCACCCAATGGATAAACTTAACGAGCTTCTGTAATGGAGCATAAATCTAAAAGATGAGAAAATGACGACTTTTCTTGTTACTAAGATTATTGGCATAAAAGTAGGCCTGTCTAGCACACTGCATTGGGTTTAGAAGTAAAAGTTTGTCACGCGAGATTGGATTGCATATTTGGAGATTGTACAACAGATACACAGGTGAATACCATGTTTCAAGAATTTTAAAGTAAGATACGATATAGTGAAATAAGTGTTTAAAACTGCATTATACAGCTGTTTCGTCCTCCTCTGACGCGTCAATGCTGCTCGGGCAAAACTTGTTGAAAACTAGAAGGTGACCGAGGAAAATAAAAATTGGTTGAAATAAATGTCAAATACCATATAAAAAGGCGTACTAGTTTCAAAACATCAATTACAATATTGGGTGATTTCCAAATATTCTTAACCGTGCCACTACTCGAATATGTTAAAACGTGACATGCAGGACACGGCAACAGACAAATCACCTGTCAATAACACATGTTCCTTCATTTACCCTTAGCTCAACTTCATACAATTAAAATGCGAAATAAAACATTAGTAATTTAAGCGTATTGTTTAAAAAGAAATTGCATTCCGTTAAATCATAAGTCTTTATGTTGTTGTTTAGTTCTTAAAGGTAAGTGAACGTCCAAAAAAGAGTATTACTTATTCTATGTCGATGTTATTGCTATTTCAAAATACAGAGCCTTATATATATTCAAATTTAGTCTATTATGTCAACTTCTAATGTAACTGGAAACAGACAACTTGCACATATAACTTTATCTTGAAATTCTATCAGTATTAGAGTATTTTTTATATTCCTTTAAATAAATCTCCATGTTCATTATGCTTATCTTCGAGGCTCATAAATTTGTGCGCAAACTCATATCTCGTGAATACTGAATAATTTATCTTATACAATCGTTCCTTATAACTAAAATGTATTTTTGCGTCAAGTAGAAATAAATCTAACTTGTACCCCGGGAAGTTTGTCATATGCTGTCCTCATGTTGTGGTGTATTAGTAAAGCCTAGATATTTCCATATGCAATCGTTGTATATTGTATAAATAGATGTCGGCCTAGTCCCATCAGGGTTTCTTGTATTAAAATATCACTGACACATATCTATACAGTACGTCAAATCATTTCCAACAAATGAAAGGCGTGGATGGCGTTCAACTTGTTATCAAGAAGACTTATGTTAGGGGAGTAAATAAGCTTGGAAATTTCAGACATGAAAACAAATCAGTAGACGATAATGTAACTTAATGATGTTAATAAGTTCAATGAGTTTCACAAGTTAGTCGCCTGCGTGATTTCCCGTTTAATGTGGGAGTGACATTTTCATTTGAAACCTTGTGTGCTATCGTAGGTAGCAAAGCGCATATACAAGTTCTCTAGAGAAACAATTTTTGTCTCCATTGAGATGAATACGTCTTCATTAGTGTTTCCTTGATACCTTTATTGGTTTTTTTAATTCCACTTTGATTTATCAATGTTAGCAAAGTTATATATTTTGAATTCACTAATTTGATCTTTTCTTCATTTGTTCATCAATCAAGCAGATATGTCTGTAAACGAATGTCAACCCACAATATTCCTTTCCCATGGCGCGGGGCCTTCATTTTACATGGACGCCACGATTGAGCCAAGAATTAAAGGTTTGGATAAAGATTCTACAGCGACAAAGGTCTTGCAGACGTTTGTAGCGGATCATAAAATCACCACTCCAAAAGCTCTTGTGGTTCTCAGCGCCCATTGGGAAGAAAATGTATGCTCAGTGACAACATCCAGAAATTATTCTCTAGATTATGACTATGGAGATTTCAAATGGCCTCCTGAGACCTACGACATACGATGGCCTGTAGTTGGCGAACCGGATGTGGCAAGGAGAGTGAAAGAACTTCTTGAGGCGAGAGGAATTCCATGTAACGAGGATAACAAGCGAGGACTTGATCACGGCGTATTTGTCCCTTTGAAACTGGTGTTCCCAGAAGCTGATGTTCCTGGTGAGACATACATTTTATTTCTTACATAAAGGTATCAAACATTTGTGAATTGCAAAAAAGATTGCAAAAGATTGCAACGATTTGATATCTCAGTATATGAATCAATGCTTTATTCCGTTCTTTGCACCAACAGACACTTTGTAATGACCGATTACAAAGTAACTATCATTTGGGAAATAAATGAAAGAATGTTTTTCACATAAACCCGTCTGTTATCCAGTGAATTTGTACATGTTCACTTTTTTCATTGGCTGTGCTACTCAGAAAGCGATTATGATGGACTTACATGGACAATGACGTTACGTCATGAATTAAATATGGCATAACAAAATGGCTGTTTTGTTTAATTTTGTCCATCACTCTTTTACTTTAAAACTTGTCGAATTGAAACATTTCTGAATTATGTGATAAACGTATCTTTAATTTGTTTTCATTTCATAAAGGATTTCATGAAAGTCGTCTGGAAGTTTTAATTTTTGCTTGCAAAGTCTTACAAAAAGGACAAAACAATCGTTTCATGAAATATATGAAATGAAACCTAATTCAAGATTATATTTAAATATTATTGTAAAAAATATATCTATTTTCCTATCTTTTTTTTCAGTCGTAGAAGTATCACTACTGAATAGTATGGACATGGGTGAGCACTTGAAGGTTGGTGAGGCTTTGTCGGACCTAACTAAGGAAAATATACTTGTGATAGGTAGTGGATTTGCCACGCATGCAGGAATGTGTCAGAGTGATCTTCCCTGGGCCGAACCGTTTAAGAATTGGCTTCATGACCTGGTTTCCAACCCAACATATACCCCTGTCGAACGGAAAGATAAATTTCTGGCCTATTCTGAAGAGAAATCGTTTTCTAATGCACATAAAACCCTTGAACACTTTCTACCTATAGCGTATTGCTGTGCAGCAGGTGGATATCAACCTGGTACAATACTTCATTCTGAATTTGCATTAGGCAGTCTACTATATGACCATTACATGTTTCAAGCAAAGTAATTAATATGGATAAATATATAAGTGATCAGATGCCACCTTAACTAAATGAAATTCTTTGATTTGACATGAGATGTGAGAAAATCCAGAAGTCCACTTAACCAATGGATAATACCTGGGTGCAACTACAAAACTGTAATTTTTGTTTTAGGACCTTTGTGATTACGGTTTTTTTTATCAACCTTCGCTCTGATACCGTGTAAATAACACGAAAAGGTAAATGATTGTTAAGTCCATGAGAAAATTTACACATTTTTTCTCTATCAATATGAACAATTACAAGAACTAATTTCACAAGTTTTCAAGTAAGTTAACATGCTAAGATTACCTTTCATCAGGTGTGTGACAAGAGATATAAAGTGAAGTTAAGTACAGTACTCTGAGGGCTGTTTACAAAAAGTTTTATGATGTAGTATACAAATATCCTGAACTTTGATCTTATCTATACTAAGTAATCAAAACAGGCGAGTTCAAAACCATGGATGACTGTACAAACACTTGGATTGTGATTACAACATTTCCAGCTTAATAGCTGAAGTATCATAGTAAAATGCATTGCCATATTTCGTCAATGTATACTTACATAACCTTAGTTACAGTATTTTTTTCTCCTTTTCCCTTTGATTCGTTTTCCAAAAAGGGAGGCCAATGATATAAAAATGATACAATTATTTCTGAATAATGATTTTTCTCTATCATATGAGTGTTTCAAAGTCAAGAACTTGATATGCCTCTACTTCAAATAAAGTCAATGTACTTTGTACTGATTATGATAATTAGGGCGCGAGACTTTATGAAACGCATACACACAAAAAAAATACAGAATCATCACTTCGAAAATCTTATGTAATTTTATTACCATCACTGGTATTTATTTCACACATACATCATTTCTTTTCAGTATGTAGATGATAAAAGTTTTCAAACCATAACAATTATTTGTGTTTAAAAATACAAGTATATACATATTAACAGTCATTTTTTTTATAGTACCATTCTGTACATCTGAATGAAATAAAAGTAACAATGTATTTCAGTAAGTTTCCAAAGGACAAAAGTTACTAACATGTAAACCTTTCTTGAACTGTAAAGAAAACATACATGATTTCACTGAATATCTCAACATTTGGGCAATTCAACGGACAAAAAAAATTCCAATAGTATTGATAATAGGTTGCAATACATGACTTAATATCACTATTCATTGAAATAATGGATTATGGTTCATTGTTAAAGCCAATAAACCGATCTGACTAAAATACCTAAAAGGCAGAATCACCACCCTTGTTTGATATTGCTATCCAACAATCAGGCAGACATAAATTTTTCCCCATTTAAAGTAATTGAAAGCACTAATACAGGAAGAGAAGAGTAGGACTCGAGCCAGTGTAGACAATACTCTCACGCTTTTCTGTATGGGACAGAAGTCATAACTTGCAGTATTGAATAAATTTACATCCAATACTTTTCTTTCCAGAACAATCAAATTCATAACAATGTATTAGGCATAATTTCTAGCTTACATACATTGAAAATTCTTGATTTAAAGAATAATATTTCCATGTTGGTAATGCATTGGTAGTTTCCCTAATCCAGTACCTTGCTTGTGGTCAGGGGTTACAGTCCTTCTTCATTTTCTGACATTATAATCTTGCTGTTGGGCAGGTATCTTCCAATCTGTCTTATGTAACTTTCTCAAAAATAGTCTTTTGATCTAATCAGGTGATGTGCGATACATTTTTTTCTTAAAAATAAAATCAAATGCAGGGTAATACCATTTACAGGTTATTTCACGATATCTTTTCACCCAAACTATGTCTAAATATATATAAATTTCAAACCTGTAAATTTACATATGATACGGTAGTCACTTTCAACTTTCAAATTCACACTGCAAACTCTCTATGTGGAAATTCTTGGTTTTACTAAATCACTGCAGATGCAGTAGCTATGACCAAACAAATCATTAAGTAAGCTGTATATTACAATAATTATCGTGATATCGTGTTCTGCATTGCAAGATATTATTTCATGTGTAAATATCTGGTGCCCTACATAATATACAGACATTAGGAAAATCATCAAAATACTTATATTTCTTATACCTACAGTTAGTTGTAGAACAACATCATGCCATTTACTACATCCTGACAAATCCCAGAACTGCTGTATAAATGTGCTTACTTACAATGATAGATACATTAACTGCTCCATTCTTTCTGGGCTATTTTATCGTTTATTGGTTTATATTCAAGTCATTAAAGATTCTTTTAAATTTTCTGTATGTTTTCTTTTTTAAATGTCTATGTTTGAATGGATGATTCATGTAAATCGAGCTTGTAACGTACAAAATAAGATCACAATAAGATCAATACTGTGTGACTATTCACACCTATACAGCATGATAACAATACGAAAATGTGTCCTCAAAATAGACTACAATTAAAATAAAGCTATGTTAGGTTTGTTTTGCTTCATTTATTTGAACTAGTTAAAAGAATAATTAAGTTTTTCCAAAATGGAAATGACTGAAATGACCTTAATATTTGTTATCATACCAATCTGGAATTGATGAGAGATACACATATACAATGTATACAAATTACCATGGAATTGGAATATATCTTATCTATTTTAGAAACCTATGACTCGTCAGAAAAAAAAAATAATAATAAAAAAAATAACAATAAAAAAAAAAAAATACAGTATTTAAAGATATTTAAACAGATAAAAAGTCGGATATTCCCAAGTATTGATATATTTTAATAAAAGCATTAAATCTATATGTGAGAGCATTATTTCATGATGCACATACACTTTTTAATCATTAACCCAAGAGTAATTTAATCGGTAAGGAGAAGCAAAAAAATGAAAATATTTTCACATGCAACAGTTCAACTATAATGTACAGATATGTGTTGGTACTAAAACATGGAGGAGCATTTACAGAAGTGATAACTTCCATCTAACAGAATGAAATTGAATCTCTTGTACACCTTCACAAAAGATCATAACGTTCTGCATACCCTTGTGAGACAATGAACAATATATATACACACTTGACTGTATGTGCTGAATCCAACAAAAAACATGACCTTGTAAACATCCATGCCAATTTCGTGTTTCTGATCACTTCCAAGTATACATAGTCATTGCTAGCACTACTGTATACAGTAAGAGGAAGCTGTGATTAACACAGCAGCATTCTTCAACAATCACCTCCTTAATAGTACAATGGGCAACTAGCACTCCTCAATGATCACATCCTAAATAGTATGATGGGTAAAACATATTTCTATGAGTTATGTTGAAGTATGTACAGCAAGGCTTTGTGATTCCAGTCCAGAGTCGATGAGGCTGCCCTCATGTGATATGTTTTTCTCCTTGTGGGCATCTAAATAAACAAATGAAATAACAAAATACGGTATACCTACAGCTATATTGCTTAGTATATGCAAATCAACACAAATGAACACTGAATACATCCTGTAAAAAGAACTTGATGTAGTCACAAATTTGACATTTCTATAAAAAAATCATTTACCATATTCGATCCAATAAGCGCCCAGGGCACTTAAAAATTGCAATTAAGGTGGGCGCTTCTTAGACCATCTTAGATATTATTTTTTTTTACGTTTTTGTGAAGTACATCTCCTTATAAACCAACTTAAAACAATTCTTGATCGTGACTAAAAGGTAAGTGAATCTAGACTTTTAGGTATCTGAAGGGGGGAGGGGGCGCTTATAGGGACATGGGCGTTTACTGGGTCGAATATGGTATTTTATGTCTTTATACCCTAATATAAACATGAGACTGTCACCTTATCCCTACACTGCAATGCTTCAAATAGTCATTGTGCAGGGTTTAAAGCATCCTTGATACTCCAAGGATCATGATCACTTTCGCTCTATGCACCCCTTGACCATGTCATGGCAAAGTTGAATGCACAAGTGAAGTTATTTTATTGGTTCCCTGAGAAAAAAATGACTAATCACAGTCCGATACGCTCCTTTTGAAGATTACAAAGGAGCGTCATTTCCATTTCCATTCTTACCAAAGACAAGGCAGAACTGACTGAATGTTTGCTGAAGTACTAGTAAACATAAACAATATAGTGATTAACAAATACAGTCAATGCATTAGCTACAAAGTCAATAGTTGTCAACTAGCACACGGATAATTTGAGGATTAGAATATGAAGTCAGTTTGACCGATGGAAAGATTTCAAACAATGATATTTTAAATACATATACTAAATAAAGTTTAAAGTTGTTATAAACAGTGTGAAATATTCTTCAGAAAATTACATTTCACAGCAAATGTATGTTTACTGTGTGTATCAATGATGTTAATACAAAGTACTTCTATCATTGCTGAAAAAGTCTTGCTTTGAAATCTATGAGCTTTACATCACTGGGGCTATGTTTAGAGAGAATTAAAGAATTTCAGTGACCAACTGGACATGTTGGATATAGTGCAAGTATTAAGAGACTTCAAGACATAATTGGGGGTTTATATCAAATGTCTATTCAATTTCTAATAGGTATTTGTATACATACATGAGACCAGCATTTGAGTAAGGGTACCTCACCTGTTACTACAGAATCAGGGTAAGATAAAGGTTTGACAGTGTCTGTCCTGTTTACACAGACCTGTTACTACAGAATCAGGGTAAGATAAAAGTTTGACAGTGTCTGCCCTGTTTACACACACCTATTACTACAGAATCAGGGTAAGGAAAATGTTTGACAGCATCTGTCCTGTTTACACACACCTATTACTACAGAATCAGGGTAAGAAAATGTTTGACAGCATATGTCCTGTTTACACATACCTGTTACTACAGAATCAGGGTGAGCTAAAAGTTTGACAGCATCTGTCCTGTCCACACATACCTGTTACTACAGAATCAGGGTGAGATAAAAGTTTGACAGCGTCTGTTCTGTGTATAGCCATCAGAGCATCCTTCAGTCGCTTCACTGTTCCACCACATTCCTAAACAAGGCAACCACCATTTGTAATAAAGTCACCCATGGGAGACACAGGAAAAATTTTGGTTTGAAAAATGAACGAAAGGGCCAAGATTTCACATTTCAAATTAAAAAATAAGAAAGACTAGATGGAAAAGATCTTTTTCAGAACTGACTTATTCTATAGGTCTGTGAAAAAGTAAAAATATACAATTATCATTTCATCTTAACCTTTGAATATGGTTACTGTTATTACTCTACTAAAGTTAGAGAACTTTGTTCGATCATACCCACATTCAAACTTACTGAAGATATGTGCAAAACATTAGGAAATCTCATGTGTTTTACTGAAGTGAGAAATAAGTATGCAAGAGTTATCTAGATCTTTTGGTTTCATAAAAATCTGTCCACAAAGATAAACACTAGAACAATAATAAGGATGTGATGGACTGATTGACTAAGAGTTCATGCTTTTTGCAAATTACGTTTATGATTATATCTATTTCTATCGATAATCTAGAGCAGCTGAATATGAAAATCTAATTCCAACAACAGATCAAATAGTGCTAAATGTATAATCTCACCTCATAGTAATTGAAAAGGATGCGGGTTGGGCTATGGCCTTTCTGGCTGCCTGAAATGAGTTTCCTGAATCCAAGTCTATCTGCCAGGGCACGCCAGTCCTGTCCATCCCTTGCAGGGTCCAGAAGTTGTGAGAGCTTCACCCTCTGGGGGTACAAGACGCTGGCCATATCACCACCTGATCAAGGATGAAAGTAAAATATTAATTTAATGAAGGCCACCAGAGATGGTAAGTGTGACAGTTTAACATGAGTAATACAGACAACCAATGAATGTATTGAACTTAGATCCATGGATAATATCATATAGTTTTGGCAAGGATTAGCGCAAAGATGGAATATTAACCTCATACTTCCCACTAATAACCATGAATTCACCCAGTTATTGATAATAATTATGGTTTTCTTTATGTGCATGGTGAAACAATATTTTAGTACAAGAGTTGAAGTTTTAATAAGACAGTTGGTGTATTTGGTGCAAGCTTTGGAAAGTCTATAGCCTAGCTGGTTGTATGACATATTTGCATTTCAAATGATCTTCTGTGTCACATAATTTTAAACCACTCTCTTAATATCACACACACAGACTCCAGAGGACACACCATTAGTGATAATGATAAACCCCCTCTCTTACCATCACACATCCCGAGGACTCACCCTCTGTTATGGGACCTATACTACTGAGCCCAGTCTCCTCCCGTTCACCCTTCACAAGGGACAGGGAGGTGAACATTTCAGCTGTCTGCTCATATTCCCTATTGTCTGCTTCCTCATGTATCTCACTCATACTGGTGTATGGGTGTCCATACAACACCTTAAGAATCTGAAACAAACATAAATTAAACACTAAGTATCTACAATTAGAAGTTACACCTTATAATACAGAAAATCTCCTTTGAAGAAATGAAAAATGGTATTTTTCACATAAACAAGAGGCCCAAGTGGCCTTAATGGTCACCTGAGGAACATATGTCAATAATCTGTGGATTTTAAAATATTGCAAAAATGTAACAACACTTGTGCAGGACCATGTGTAAAACATCTGTACCAAGTTTGAACATAACCCATCCAATGGTTCTTGAGAGGAAGTCCATAATGTTTTAGCCAAACAGAGGCCAGACTGGCCATCTTGGATTTTGAATCGCCCCAAAAAGTTAAAACACTTGCCAGGACCTTGTGTAGAACATTCGTATCAAGTTTTCCCTTTTGCCCCTTCCTGGGGCCACGTCCTTTTTCTTCGTAAACTTGAAGCAGCTTCCCATGGGGATGCTTTGTGCCATGTTTGGTCAAAATCCATCCACTGGTTCTTGAGAATTTGTTTACATAAGGTAATTAAATATGTTAGGGTCACGATGATTGTGGTTTCCTAATTATCAATGGATCAAACCACAACTGTTTCATCACAGTAATCAGTAATCAATTAATCTTTTTTTTTTTTTAAATCTGACCCCAAAAAAGTACCTGCGCACTATATCCGCAAATTTACGGTAGTCATTTAATGAAGGTTTTTACATATGGACCCTTTTACACCCCTTATGGACCCCAAAGGGGACATTATCACTTTTTTCAACATACTTTCATATGTCCTTCACTAAGGGATGCTTTCTACCAAATTTGGTTGAAATCAGTCAAAGTTGAATTTTTACCCTTTTGAGCGCCCCCTAGTGGGGCCGTTTTTGACCCGATTTTTTTTTTCATTCGCAAACTGTGTAGACCTTGCCAAAAGGACTCTAAATATCAAATATGAATTCAATCTGTTGGTTCATGAGAAGAAGATTTTTAAAGATTTACCTAATTTTACCCCCTTTTTCCCCTTCCTGGGGCCCATATTGGGGCCACATCCTTTTTCTTCGCAAACTTGAAGCAGCTTCCCATGTGGATGCTTTGTGCCAAGTTTGGTCAAAATCCATACAGTGGTTCTTGAGAAGAAGTCGAATATGTGAAAAGTTAACGACGCACGACACACAGCGCACGCCGACAGATAAATCATGATGGCAATAGGTCACCATGAGCCTTCAGCTCAGCCGACCTAAGAAATGAACTTATGATTATGTGAACTGTATATCAATAGTTGATGATGATTAATATTAGGAGCTACCTTATCATTGTCCATTGCAAAGTCCTCCGCTGTACGACCCCGTTGACTTTTCTCTTTCATTATCATCTCATCTTTGTCCTTCTCATCCTCATTTTCATTCTCTGAACCCTCATCTTCGTAGTCCATGTTCTCAACCTTTGGGTCAGCCCCTGCTGCCATCAGGAGGGCAACCATTCCGATGTTTTGTCGCCCACAAGCCACATGCAGTGCTGTGTTACCATCAAAACATGTAGCATTGACTGCAGCTTTAGCCTGTCAACATAAAGTTACACAATAATGAATGCAAACAACAAATATCAAAGGACATTATGCCACTTACGGTCAAAAATCAGATTGTATATGGAAGGGAGATAACTCAAGCAATAAGATTGTATTGTACTCAAGTACAGTCACGGAAGACAACACTAGTTATTGCCTCCATGCTTATCATATTAAAAATTTTCCATAAATGGCAAACTATCACTTACATTCTTCCTTGTGTTGTATATCAACAGCAATAGAACATTTCTTTTTGACTCACTTTCGAAAATATCAGTGTCCCTTTTCAAGCAAGCCGCAAATTTCTTTTTGACTCACTGTCTAAAATATCAGTGTCCCTTTTCAAGCAAGCTGCAAATAACCAGTGCTGTACTAAGAATCTTAAACTGCCTATTACATCTTCACAAGTATGTACCTCCAGTAGTAGCCAGCCAGCCGTAGAAAGGTCATCGTTGCCTGCTGCATAGTGGAGAGCTGTCCGACCACTTTTACCATCAGCCATGTTCACATCGGCTTTACCCTTAACCAACAGCTTTATGGATGTCAAGTCCTCCTTCTGGGCCGAAATGTGTATAGGGGTCAAACCTGAAAAGTTAACACAGGGGGAATTAATTAGGTCACATCAATAAAATGAAGGAATGTCACACAAGAAATATCTAATAACACTATAATTTCTTTTTGCAATGTAAGCAATTTTACATGAAAGTAAGCTGAACCTTCACAAATAAAAATTCACCTACTGAGAACAACAGATCTGGAGGGTTCTGAAGAACTTTTTGTTCACTCACTGAAGCTCACCTTATTGTTTTTTTTTATTTGTTTGGGTATGAATTAAATCAGTTCATAAATTGAACTCATAATTTGATTCAGAAACTGAGTTGCCTATTATCAAATGCGTACCATCAATATTCTTGATGTCCAGTTCCGGGAAAGGTCGCTGCCTGCTGACCCGAGGTCGGATGTATTTAAGCATTGCTGCAAGACATTTGTCCTTTTTGTAAAGAGAGGCTAAGTGGGCTGCTGTGTTACCATGTCGATCCAGTACAGTAGGCTCTGCCCCCGTCTTAAGTAGAGCATCAACCACACCTTCCTGGCCAGTTATCACAGCTAGGTGTAATGGTGTCTGTAAAATATTTTTAAACAGCAACATCAAAAATACTGATTAGCGTTAATCTTATTCAGATCAATCAACACTTATAATTTCATTTTGTCTGTCGAAATTCTGACTCCTCCTGTAAATTTGACCTATGACTTCTATAATCAAGAAGCTTTTTAAGGTTTTTAAAAAAAGAATTATCATCGTTTTTAAGAATTCTATAGAAAAGAAACGAAGCTACAAAACAGAAGTGAATAGTACCTGTAACCTCCTGTTATGGACATTTATCTTTGACTGGGCATTAGGTAAAGTTGCCATGACATCCAGCAGGTTGTGGACTACCTCCAGCTGATGATTAATGATGCAGGTGTGAAGAGGTCTGAAACATTATTTTGTGAAAGAATCATTATATATATTCACTATCCAGGACACATTTCCAACCAATCTAAATTAATTTGATAGCTGGTAAAGTCATACTGTTACTGTAATAATCATTTATAGCTGTTCCACAGGTATGTCAATTTTGAAAAGGAGAATCATATCACAGAATATAGAACCTTCAAAAGAACTTGATTTTAATTTCAAAGAATAATTTTCTGATTCATTCTTAAATAAATGTAAAACATACAAAATTAAATATGAGAATAATAATTTTCTCGAGCCACAATAACTTTCGTTGTTTTGTGACAAACATTTTCCTAGAAAGAATATCACCCAGACAGCAGAGCCATTGTTACTGTATATATTTTAAATATAATGATTGTAGTTCCACAACCATGAAAGTAAATCTCTGATAAAATACAATTATCAATAATTCCCTTTTTGGTTGGGGTACAGGAAAATTGTGACAAATACTGCAATTGTTTGTTTTAGTTTAACTGGTAAACTGTATCTAATCAAACTTACATATCACCGTCCTCATCAGCAATACAGGTGAGATATCGCTGTACTGTAAGAAGCTGGCGAATATCTCCTGTGGCTGCATATAGTTGTATAGCTTTGGCTGTCCTTTCTGCCATCTTCAAGGCATGGTCCGACTCAGTCTGGACTGTAAATCACAAACAATTAGATTTCACAGCCATGTTAAGTAAGATATCTATTGCATTACATTTTATGACTCGGAATTCTCTGATAGCAAGAAGTTATATTCCTTCTGTACTTTTAAAATCTGTAAATGGAAAATTAGAATCGAATACCAGTATTAAAACAGGTACATCAATAAACAGACAACAAAAATCAGAAAATAATACTACTGAATACCAGACAGAGTAACTGGATGATTACTCCTCACAAGACACATGGTTAAGAAGGCTTAATTGTTAACTGTATACAAAACACATGTTGAAAGAGCATTTTCAAATACAAGACACTCATTCAAGCGATTATAACTAAATAGTGAATACATATAAAAATGTAAGAGAATTCATCCGCAATATAGTGATATATGAGAATTTAAATCCAGGGTATTACCTCAAATTTTTCATGTACTACTCAGATAGACCAAATTTTCCTTTGTACCATTATAGGTTTAATTTCAATTTGGCAAATGAAAAAAGTGTAGGTGAAGACAGGAACTCAAACCTACCAGACACATCATTTTTAACAGCATGGGAACCAGGATCACTGTGGATTTTGCGCACATGTTGTATGGGTTGATGTACTACTTTGCTCTCCATCTTGACTGGACCGTCAACCATATCATGTCCACTAACGGTCAGTGGAATCTGTGGTGGACATGTCCCAAATTCCCCACTCACGGTCAGTGGAATCTGATCGGAATATTTTTCTAGTATATCTCTGTCTTCATTGACAGTTAATGGAATGCTTGAAATCGGCGAAATCTCTTTCTCAGTGCCTCTTGTCATTAGATTTGGGTTCATATACATATTGGTTGGGGCCAGAAGGATCTGGCCCTGGTACTGGGTATTGTCGTACATGGTCTGTAGTTCTGGAATCTGTTGCAGGTAAGGAGGCATCGATATATGATGATTTCGAGACAACCCCATTTGGTTATTGTGTGAGGTAGCCGTATATGTATTTTGGGCTGAGGTTTGTGGAACAGTAGCAATGTTAGGCATATACAGTGTCTGAGATGGGGTTAAGTTTGTATTAACAGGGGTGCTATAGGCTGTGGTTTGGGGTATACCGATGGGCATGCTCTGTGGTATAGTAGGCTGGGACAGTTGCTGATTGGTGAAGAAAGGGTCGACAGTCTGATTCAGGGACTGACATGGTAGTTTTACAGCTGGTGGAGTATCAGTCTCTAGGTCTTGATGTGTGTTGTGTTGTTTCACAGCATGGCGCCGCACTGCTTTGGTAATATTTCTATGAGATGGCGCAGGAGCATCTACAATAGTCAACAATCACATGAATAGAACAATATTAATCATTATGTATTTATCTCTGACATTTGCATGCTAAAATAATGAATGTATGGAGACATGCTCGAAGACTGATTATCCACCATTTTACTGATTCATTTGTAAGAACATCCTTATCCTAGGTCTGAGAAATGATTATCTACAACAATGAAAAAGGTCAACAATACAAAGCTGTGAGACAACAATATGTTGATGATCAGCAGCATAAGGGAATATTAATTATTCACTGCCTTATGTGTGATTTATAGGGATCTCAACAAAGATTATAAAGTAGCAATCATTTGGAAATCTTCATGTCGGCCAACTTAACAACCTTCCCCCATTGTTTTAGATCCCCATCTCACAATGCTATTACTCTCCCATACTTCACAGGTACTTTTAATTAATGTTCATGTTAATAGTTTAAAACAACATCATGATAAAACAACCATTTTATGTTTTTTTGTTTTGATTTTATAATAATTTCTTTTATAGATATATATATATACTGTGGATATATAAGCAAAGGTGATCATCATCATTTGATGACGCTAATTTCGTAAGCTTCAAAGTGAAGTAGATATGTGAGTAAAAATGATTATCATCAGTTGATGACACTGATTTCATAAGTTACAAAGTGAAGTGATGCCAAATGATACATTAGAGACAGAAAAACGAATAAGAAATGAAGTCAGTATGCAAGATTGAATGATTTCAAACAAAGTAAATAATGTAACAATTGCCATTGCATTGAGTAAACTCTCTACACTCAAATAAAACAAAGTTGACAAGCAATTAACAGTCAGGAGGGGGCCTATAGTGGAAAAACTTATTGTGGTGATATGACAAATGTTGTGTTTAAGTAAAATGAAAAGTTTCTCCTGTTATAAACCATGTGTCAACTTCCTTACAAAATGCATTTCACAACAAACTTGTGTTTAGTCTATATCATTGCTGTCAATACAGCTAACTTGACTACCATTATAAATAAATGTACTGCCTTGGTTTCAAATCTGTTTTAAGCTTTACATATTATCAGTGCGATATTTAGGGGATAACTTGAATACCTTGTGAGGTCAAACTGAAAATGTAAGATAGACTATGAGTATTGAGGTGTAGATGATACAAAAATAGGGTCCTACCATCATCCTGGTTGACCGTTGTTGGCATGTTTCCTTGACTTTCTGACATGGAGTCTAAAAAAAAGACAGCACAGCATTAACAATGCTAAAGATTCTGAATGTCATAATAAAGACAGACTTCCTGTTAAGGACCTGCAAACAACACCAATAGTCACTTGTTTATATTTACATCAAACACCTGTCAGTTCTCCATTATTCAAAGTCAATGGTCCCCTAATCTCTCTCTTTCTTGCCTGAAAATAATGACATCTAAATTCATATGGTAAATGATACTGTTTATAGAAAACCTCAGATTTAGTTTTACCAGTGCCTTTTTTTCGTTCACTCTTAAGTTTAAAATTAAAAAAAAAAACAACTTCAAAGTAACATGTTAGCTTTAAATTTTTGTGGCAAAATAATAATTTTTCAACAGTGACTGTGCAAATTTATTGTGATAGGAAACTTGATATTATTTCTCACTTCTGATGACTGTGTCATAGAAGTTGCTAGTTTTTCAGCAAAGAATGTACAAATTTATATCATTATGATAGGAATCTAAATGTTTTTCTCACTTCCATTGACTGTGCCAAAGAAGTTGCCACCACCTCCTGGTTGTTTACTGCCACCACCACCGGAGCCAAAGTTGCCACTCCCAGGATATATGGGCAGTGTTTTCTTCCTTTTCTTACGAATGTCATCCATATCTACAAATTTACAAATAATTGGTAACAGAAGGAAATATAGACAATGAAGAAAATGGGACAATGGGCAAACCTTTTGGAAGGAAAGACATTATTCACAGAGATACAAAAATACTAATGTTTATCAGGTAGTAAGTGAAACATTAATTATGTTCTGAGGGCAATCAATGAAATATTAACCAAGTTCCAAGGGCAGTCAGTGAAATATTTACCATGTCTTGAGGGCAATCAATGAAACATTTACCATGTCTTGAAGGCAGTCAGTGAAATATTTACCATGTCTTGAGAGCAGTCAGTGGAAAACTTACCGATGTTCTGAGGGTAGTAGGTGAAAGATTTTGGATCACTGCTCTCTGAATCTGACTTGCGTTGTAACATAATGAGCACATTGACAGCTCTGTCAATGGCTGGATCTTTGTAAGGTGGCGTTTTAAACACTATGGCATACTGTATGGTAAGAAAAAAAAATCAGTGAAATGAGTGTTTTTTCCCTAAATAGCTTGTTATTTCATTTCACAAACATATGGTCTTACTTGAACAAAGATCAAGAAGTTTTGATGCTAATTTTTATAAACTGACCTGTCTGTGGACATCAAAAGGCCCAAATGACCCGTATGCTTCCCATGTCACATTACCATCTTCGTCTTGCTCAACAAATCTCACAGAGATGTCATCTGTCAGATAAATGAAATAGAATGCCATTAAAACTTGGACATCTACCTAATGCAAAGTTCCATTGAAGCAAATTGTCACAATAACTAATAACAATTATTGGATGCATGCACAACTCATTGAGGGGTTATATACATAGGTTATATATATAAGTATATATATATTAAGGTAAATACTGGGAGGGCAAGGACAATAGAAAAACAACAAAGTACACTTGTCTTTAGAGGAGTGTTAAAGTAGTATATAATATACAGGCTCATGATTAAGAGGATCTGACGTGAGTGTAGAAGTAGTATGTAATACAAGTTCACTATTGAGAGGATCTGACGTGAGTGTAGAAGTAGTATGTAATACAAGTTCACTATTGAGAGGATCTGACGTGAGTGTAGAAGTAGTATGTAATACAAGTTCACTATTGAGAGGATCTGACGTGAGTGTAGAAGTAGTATGTAATACAAGCTCACTATTAAGAGGATCTGACGTGAGTGTAGAAGCAGTATGTAATACAGAAGCTAATGATTTTGAGGAACTTACATGGGTATAGATGTAGTATGTAAGATACAAACTCACTTATTTGAAATGTTACAATCCTTTAAAGTGATCTTGTTTAAGACTTTCAAAACTGAAGTCACCAGTGTGAGCTTTCATGCACAAAACTTTTTACTTTCGACTTCAGCTTTAACTCATAACGCAACACTTAACCATTGCACATCCATCAGATTGCATTTATTGTCAATGTGAATGCCATTTGGGTGTCAAATAAATAGAATGACCTCCATTAGGACATCATGATTATTTACTGGCACCCAGATTGCATTCATAGTGACAATAAGCACAATCTGACAGGCGTTCAATTGTAATACTTACATTGCGGATATTATTTAAAACATTATCATGGTTTTTTTTTCTAATTTGAAATAATTTTTCTTAATGTAATGCCAAAATGATATCATGTTAATATCCTGCAGTCCAGTCTTCATCTATACCCATGTGAATAAAATCCAGATTAATACGGAGTTAATGGGAGGTCATCACGCAAAATGTGAATACAGACATATGACTTTTCAATAAGCTTGTCGAGTTAACAAGATAAGGACTTTAGTATCAACAACCTATGACCTTAGCCATGGCAAAGGACACAGAACCCTGAACATACACTACATGTACATAGTGTACAACCTTTATGTGTATTTCAGAATGACGGGAGTATTGCCTTACCTTTCTGTACTTTCTCACACAACAGGAACACTTCCTCATTACCAGTACAACATCCACCATATTTATCCATACGGCAGATTTTGAGGGCATTGGCTCCTGGCGACTCTGCAAAACAAGAACAAAAACTAGGAAAGTTGTTACACTAATTTGTTGTATTTTTGTTTTTCTACTTTCTATTTCCTTTGTATTGACAGACAGGAAACAACACAAGTACTTACAGGTTATTTAACAATAGATCAATAGTAGTTACTAGTCCATGGAAAATATCTACATGTAGTAAACTTAATAATGGTATTTTGTCTTTTAGCACAACTTAGTGAAACATCCCTAAAGCTTGTTCTGCATAGCTCATTCTGCATTGCCTTTTAGCACAACTTAGTGAAACATCCCTAAAGCTCATTCTGCATTGCCTTTTAGCACAACTTAGTGACAACATCCCTAAAGCTTATACTGCAGAGCTAAGTCCTCTCTCATCCAAGTAGGATTCTCGGTTATGAACCCTGAAGACTGGAGATGTTAAAAAAGGTTTGACCACAACAGCAGTAGGGATGAAATGGATCAGAATGTCTAACTGGAAACTAGACCTTTAATCAAGTGCATTACAGTTCTTTGTTTTCGAATTATCTCAAGATGAATTATGCCTTAACTTAAAAAAAGCCTTTTAATGCAACACTGCAATACTTACTGCTATCATATATCGGATTGGAAAGAATAGAAGGAAGGAGACGACTAAACATTCCAGTCTCATCACGAAGGTAGGCCTGGAAACACAGCTTTACCACATTCAGCTGCATCTCCTTGGCTAACTTCTCTGCCTGAGTCTTAGCCTGCTTCAAATCCTCCACTAGATTGAAAGACAATCATTGATTTAATTTCATTGACAGGTACCGCTGGTAATATACTCCTAGTTACCCATAAAACATCAATGTCTGTTTTTATTAAGGGATACTTTTTCCTCATCCCAGTATAAAGTTACTGGTTTCACAGATGTCACAGTATGTTTCTTTACAAGAGATATGGTCGATTCATGGACATGGGTTTCCAACTACTCTTGTATTTCTGATTTTATTTCATATGCAAACATTTAACATTGATATAGATGGCTTAAACTTTACTAGATGCTACCATGATAAACATAAGATCATTATTATAAGACCCTGTTTAAATATTAAAAAATTTCCCATGAATCTCTGATCTCCCGATACCTGTCTGACCTTAAATTATGTCTGATAAAAGCTTTCAATTTTGGTAAGATCACCAAAACATTGTGATAATTCTGTTAAATACAACAAGAACATACTCAGAAGTTTAATTTTTTGTTCATCAAGTAAAGTTATCCTAAACATGTATAAAAGACAATGACATGCTGAGGTCTTTATTGGATATCATTGTAGTAGCGTTTGTAAAAACAATTCATCAAGGGGTATCTATATTATGTGAATGGTGTCCTTGAATTTATGAATCCAAGGGATAAATCCTTGATAGATAACAGTAACCTTTGGAATATAAATGCTGCATCAATGAGAGGGTATATCGGTGAATCTGTGACACTGGATATAAACAGTTGTAGCGTATAACATTTCAAGTATACACTACAGGCCTATCTGTAGTTTAGTGTCTTATACATTCTTTTCTTATTGTTCAATAAATAAGGTTGCTTTCAATTACTTTTAAATGTCAGATAAAGTCAGATAAATGACATTACGACCAGAAGATAAACTGATGTTATTACTCAACTATACAAATACAATATGATTCTTGTTCTAAAGGCATTATACACAAAACCTGTCATCACAAATTTCAGCACAGTTAAGCTAACCATAGGCTTGATGAAATGACTTTCTTTTGACAAATCTCATTGGAGCTAGAAATTTGCTAAATATATATATACAAACACATGATACTTACTTGTAAGTTCTGCTTGGGCGTTGAGGTCGCCCAGTTTCACAAGTTTGTCAAGTTTAATGGATTCTAGAATTCTCTGTTCGATCACCTCTGATGCCTTCCGTCTGGTTACATGTTGGACACATAGGTTTGGAAACCTTTATCACAAGAAATTAAAAGTCATTGTAATTTTGAGTATCATTGCAAATATCAAAACAACTCACTTTGTATTTTGTATATATTTTAAATAGATGCTGTGTCTATATTCTTTAGCAGCAGTTTCTGTAAAACATGTCCAACAATGTTGCGACTGTACTTTCCTGAAGAACTTTTTGTAATGAATATGATACAGAACGTACATACATATGTACATGCTTTTGAAAAGTTTAAACCTTAAGATAGAACACAAAACTTTAATCAACTGAAATGAATTAACTTACGTTAGAGAGTTTTGTCCTCCCTTTAATTCTACAATACAAGTTCCTTCATTACAGTTTCTTCCCACCAATTTATGTGCATGTGGGCGAGGTATGACCTCGTCTGTTACCAAGGTTACCACCACACGGGCAGGTCCGTTGTAGTTCTTGATCTGTAACAGTTTTTAATACAAGAACAATTAGATTAATAACAGGCAACTGAAATTTGTATCATTTGGGATATAAAAATGATTCTATAAACTACTCTAAGCTATCTATATGTAGCACAACATCGACTAGGCCTCTCTAAAAACACTAACCTTGATAGCAGGGTAAGTTTTACGATACTTTTCACTTTTCTCTCCCTGCAGACCTCCATGAGATGGACCCTCACATTCATAACGGAATCGGAATCCACGAGGCTGAGGTTGCTCTACTATCTCAATGTGAGGGTCAGAATCTGTGAAACAACAATGTGCCAGCATGACTGACTGCAAAGCATATGTAATCAATTTTACAACTTGTCAAAGGGATTGATGGAAAATAGCATTAGAGTTTAAAATACTTATGACAAATTTTACTTGATTTGTTTGACAATCACTATAATCTATGGCATCACAGTCACACAGTTCCATTCCATAGAATAATTTGTATTGAATTAATTGTGATTAATATTAATCGATTACCAGGTATTGTGCAATAATATCAAAATACAAAAAACAATTACATTAATCATAAAAAAGAAAAATCAATCAAAACTCTCCCACCTTCATAGAAGACAATAGATTGATCAGACTTTATTATAAAATGTAGAATAATCATTGGAAGACATTTTACCAGTACTTGAGTGCCTCCAGCCACTTTGTTTCAATTTATACTGCATTATTAAGAGAAACTGTATTTTCATGTTAAATGACGTCACTGCTAATATGTATAACACTGAGGACTATTTATGTAAGTACCAGCAGCAGGGTCATGCCTACAATATATACAAAGTACAGGTAGATGTTCACTGTTGCTTGAATTGACCTGTTCCCTCAAGGCTCTTTCAAACATTTTCTGCTAGACCTATTTACATAATTGCAATGAACAAAAATGCATTATGGGGCTCAATTACCATCATCAAGCACCATCTGTGTGATTTCACCATTCGTGATTTTGCTCTTTTTCACTTGGTATACAGTGTTTGGATCGTTGTCAATGGCAAATTCATACTCGACCGAATCTGAAGTATCTCCATCCTGGTCACTCATCGTGGTCTTTCTGCTCTCACTACAAATACAATACACAATGACTACCTCTGTAAATGTTGAGTGAATTTACATGTATATAAGTACAATGTATCTAGTAGTATATGTATGTAATTGGTAGTACATTGGAGAAGCACTCCAAAGTGTAGCTTTAAACAGAAACACTTCAAATAAAAGTACATGTAACATTATTTCAATTGTTTGATGATTTTGCAGAAGTTGTCAAATGTGACCATTGACCCATAAACCTTGACAAAAGATTTACAAAAATCCTTCTAATAAGAGCGCAGTTTATTTTAATGAGTAAACATGTTTAAGAATCATGCCCGCATTTTGTACTTATGAAAGGTAAGTAAAAATGGCCAACTGTTCCAGGACCAGAACATCACCAACAAATTTAGCTGGTCATGTATTTGTTAAAAGAAAAAGGTCTACTTGACATTTACTCCATCGACAGCTTCCCTATCTCCTGCCCTACAGTGTCACCAGAGAATCAACTCCAGGTGATTGGACAATGCCCGGCAACGGGAAGAGTCATGGAGACGAGTAACCATCATCACCATTACCCTACATATTAAACTGACACATTTCTCTCTAGACCTATATAAGAAACCCTAACAACCAAACTCAATTCAGATTTCATAATGAATACTTTAACAGAAAAGAACACTGTTCATTTCTACCAGACAATCATTAAACAGCAATTATAATAAGTAAATTCTCTCTCATGCAGAGATAAAAGGTAGTTGTATACATAACAAAGCCAAATTATAATCCTATTAACAATTAAACCTACGGTTGAAACGGAAGATAGTCAACCTACTTTATAAGACATATTCACGTGTAAAAGAATATGTACACAGGGCTCTCACACCCCATTTTGGGACTGGGGCCCTTTGAATTGGGAAAAAATAACGTTGTTTTCCTTAGAATTGGGAAAACTTAGGGTATTAATCAGATGTACTGGTAGATAGGGGTATATAAAAACACAAACACAGGTTTGGGCCAAAAGTAACCAATATTTTATTATTATGTAATATTATGTAACATTACAAAATTATATATCTGTGGACAACACAGTCCACAAATAATGAAATACTGGTCTTCTGCTAAGAGACAAATACAACTAATAACTACAACATAAAAGATCTAATCTAAAGGGATGGGTGGGATGGGTGTTTATCATTCAGGGTTCTAAAGCCCTGTCAGTGCTGGAGGTGGGACCTGGTCACTCCACAGTGCTCTGGAGACTGTGGCTGGGCAGGTCAGTGCAGCAGTGTAACCTACAAACCTCCTTGGTTGTCATTGGCTAAACCTGTCAAGGTGAGGAGGTTAATGGCTGACCATACAAATCCCCCTTATAGGCACAATGTTTCTCAATGGTCCCATTGCCCCAAACTTGACATGCCAAATGTTAGCCCTGACCCCTGGATAACCGACTTGATAAAAGTTGGGGCCATCTGACAAGAATGACACTCCATCCCACCTCATTAATATTGTATTAATTACTTAATACCTACATTAATCAGATGTACTGGTAGATAGGGGTATATAAAAACACAAACACAGGTTTGGGCCAAAAGTAACCAATATTTTATTATTATGTAATATTATGTAACATTACAAAATTATATATCTGTGGACAACACAGTCCACAAATAATGAAATACTGGTCTTCCAAACTAATAGCCCAAACCTGTTAGTAGAGTAGGAAAAATTAAACATTCTTAAAAAAAAAAAAAAAAAAAAAAAAAAATGTATGTCCATGGTGTGGTGGAATATTACCGGTTTCTATTCTACAGGCGGTAATTAGCAGACATATCAGCAGATCACAACAACACACAAATGAAGATCGATCCAATAAGATTTCAATGTCCAGCTGAAGGTAACCTCACATTCATAAAAAAAAAAAAAAAAAAAAAAAAAATTGAGTCAAGGCAGGCAGTCCAAAACACTAATGTCCAGGTCCTGAAAGTTATGACTGAGAAACTTAACACAAATACAATATTCCACTGATAGCTACTGTAATCACAAACAAGGATGCAGCCTATCTCTCTCCAATACCATTGTAGTGTGATACTGCCTTTCCTAAAGTATAGGCAACTTTGAGACGTAGCGACAAGGATGGGTCCAAGTAGCGTTTATAGGCGTCACTACGCCAATCTCCCTGAGTTTGGATGAGGTCAGCAGGTAAGCCACATTCTAAAGCAAAAGATGCCCCACCCCTGCGAAAGCTATGGCCTGAGTATCTAGCTGGGTCAAGGCCACATTCCTGGAGGATAATATGAAGCTGTGAGAGGAAAGATTCGTATGTAAGGGGGATGAATGTACCCCTTGACTGGTAAACAAAGGCTGGGCCCTGTGGGTCAGCCTGCCGTGTCAAGGCAAAGGCCAAGGTCAAAGCCTGTGTAGGGCAGAAGGGTGACTTTGGTATGCATGGGAGGGGGATAAGAAGGCATCTCTCCTTAAACTGAATGGTTTTTGACCAGGTAATAGACAGAATTGTACCCTGGTTGGAGAGATGGATATCATGTCTACTTAGGTGTTTCCCAGATTCAAACTTGTCTTTATCTGAGATAAACAAATTGGACTTACGAAAAAAAGAGAAAAAGGCTACTAGGCATGCTGCCCAAAAAGTGATATGTTTGGAGGAGGTTAGACAAATTCTGGAGAAAATTTTTTCCAAGATGCTAAGGTTGATTGGGAGTTTAGGATTGCAACCATCACCCATTGTTCTACGTGCTCCTTTCAATATAGTACTGACATAAAAGGAGTCAAGAGGACTGGGGTAATCCCATTCCTGGTGTAAAAGCTTGATGACTGACAGATACTGCCTTACTGATGAAAAGGTAAGTCGATCAGACAAATAAGCAATATAGCGTCCCAAATTAACTGGTGATAAAGGGACTAATGGTATCTCTACAAGCATGCAAAACCTTCTGTATGAAGACAGGTATGTACTGTAGGTCTTCTGAGTAGACTTAGCAAAATGGTTTGCCCGTAATACGTCTACAGTCGTATCAAGATTCTTGATTATGGTGGATTTCGGTGAAGGACCTTGGCCACCTGTTCAGAAACATAGAAAAAGGAAGGTGCTGACATGTGATCCAAAAAGTAAAGAGTTGGTACTGGTCTACCAAATCTACTGCAAAACTGTTGCAAATGGACAGACTCGTGAAGCCGAGACACAGTGTCTGCCATGCCATTGTTAACACCTTTAATGTGTCTAGCAACTATGTGAAAGTTGAACAAAACAGACAACCAGAACATATTACGTAATAACCCCATAAGTATTGGGTTTTTGGACGTGCCCTTATTTAAACAGGCTACTGTGGTTGCATTATCGCTAAAAACATATATTTTCATGTTGGTCCAACAAGAGGCCCAACGATACGATGCAACAACTACTGCAAGTAATTCCTTTTCATTAATATGCCAATGCATGGCCTGGGGGAAATCTTGAGACCAGGCTGTGTAGAACCAGTCCTCCCCCCAGTGTCCCCCACCCCCAATAGGACATGCATCTGTATACAGCGCAGTGAAGGGGATGTCATTGAGTAACAATGACTTGCCATTGAAAAGTGATAGGCCTGTAACCCACCATTCAATGTCTTGTAACATTGGGCCAACTAACTTGACTTTGTGACCTGGCTTTTTAAGGGCTGCCATAGAGTTAATCAACCGACGGAGAAAAACTCGCCCGCCTCGGATAACTGTAGCGGCCCATGACAGTTGTCCCACAATGGATTGTAACTGTCGTTTAGTAGCACGTTTGCGATTACGGAAATCGCAAATATCAGATCTAAGAGCTTCCAGCTTCTTCAAAGGTAATTGTAACATCATACTGACCGAGTCAATCTCAACGCCAAGAAATGTCATAACCTGAGCTGGGCCATGTACCTTAGACCAGTTAATGAGAAATCCCAACTTTCTCAACAGGCCTATAAGATATGCTAACATAGAGGAACATTCCTCCTGAGAATCTGCACAGATGAAGAAGTCATCCAAATACACCACCAGATTGTGGTGTCCAGCACAGGACATAATCCTGCGGACTGCTTGTGTAAGTCTATGAAAAATTCCAGGACTTGCCTTTGCTCCAAAAGGCAGCTTAGAATCATAAAAATAGTGGGGTTCACCATTTAAAGTCCATTGGAGTCCTGTTACCATTCGACTATGTTTACTTATAGCTACAGATCTATAGGCTGACTTAAGGTCAACCTTGGCCATAAAACAACCTGGGGTAAGTAGCCCAACCGCATTATCTATAGACTGGAATTTTTGTTTATCCATTGTTGTGCAGTAGTCATTAACTGCCTGTCCTGATGGCCGGCTACAGTCATGAATGAGTCTGACCCCACCAGATGTTTTAGGGATAACCCCTATCGGACTAATGATAAGGGGTTTAGTGGCAATAGGGATGTAATTGCCATTAGCTATTTCCGTATGGACTTGCTGTGAGGCAAGTTTGTAAAAGGGGCTGTGAATAGATGCAGAGGGATGATTGGGAGCTTCACAATGAAGGGGAGTGGAATTTGGGTCAATAATATCAAATCCATTGGTGATACCATTAAGAATAAAAGATCTATCAAAATCATTAGGGGGAAGAAGCTTGTCCCAGGCTTGATAGGACAGGCCATGGGTGGGACTGTTTGATTGCTATGCATCAGATTTATGGGAATGAGCAGGGTGATTTTGTGTACACCCAGAGACTAAACAAATGTGGGCATACTTACAGTTTGTCCTGTCACACCCAGGAACAGTATTGTAGTTTCTACAAATTCCCTTTTTTTTCGATGTTTTCCCCTTTCTCTTACCAATTGAAGTTTGGGGAAATGATCGAGGTTGTTTAGGCCTTAGATAAACTGTTTGGAGGTGAGGTATGTCAGTACCCCACCGAAACTGGTCTTCAGCCTGCAGCCTGCGGTATTCCCTATCAAAAAACCAGACTGATGACTGCTCATAACAGTTCAACAGCTGATAAATGCGGGTGGTGTATGACAGGTAATCAAACATCCTTTC